AGAGGATACAGATTTGTTACTTTGGAATTTGACAGAATAAGCACACTGTCAAAAATCGGATTACTAGGAAACATGGGCTGGAGATAAAAATAAGAGCTGAAACATGAAACTTAAAGAGTCCTCAACTTAGTGAAAGAAAGAGAAGGGTGTTTAGTTGCACTTCTTTATTCCTCTAACTCCTTAGATCTTTTTATGAACTGTGTTTTGAAGAAAGTCTAAGTATATGTTTCATAATAGTAACTGTAGTAGAGGGAAACACGTTAAAAGAATTCTACTTAATTGCAAAGCAAACAAATGTGAATTCTCAGTCATGGGCTTTTCTCCTCTCCTTCCTGTCTATTATGTAAACAAACAGCCACCTTTAAATACTTTCACTCTATATAGAAAATAAACCTGAGTTCCATAGAGAGCATGAATAAAATAATTTTGTTGCCTGAATTATTTTAAAAGAGAAATTATTGTAATTAAATCCAGAAAACCCCGTTACTTTGAGCCACATATTTCCATTCCATTCACAAGGGCAGCCTCAAATATCATATACTAATAATTATACTCAAAATAATTATAATTTCAATTGCTATGTCCTACCTTCTTACATTTTTTGAGTGATTTTTTTTTTTTTTACCATTTTCCCGTCTTCACATTTAAAAAGAAACAGAGCTTTTGCTGTTGTTTGTTTTTAAGTGCCCCTATGGGAAAACCACCAACCACTTAGAAGATTTAATGCCCTCGAGAACTTAAAGCTCCTCTAGCAAGGAATTTCAGTTTCTTGAGACAAAGAATGATACCTTATAAGGACAATATAATTTATGGATCATGTGTTTCCTGTTCTGGTACAGTAAGTATTTGATGACTACATGTTGAGTAAATGCCTTCTTATCTTTAGAGTCATTCATAACGGATCTCCTACTTGTTAATTGTCATGTACAACCAGAATTAAGCTTTATTTTTATGATGAGTATCTTTTTATGCCAATTCTCCAGAAATCCATGTGGTCCACACAGTTGTCATTTTAACGTCAATGTTCTATTTCATTGTATGGCTCTGCTATAGAATGCTTAGCCACCCCTCTCAGGTAGCTGGGATCAGAGCTCCTATTCACAAAGAATTCTAATTTATCAGTGAAGCCAATGGAGCAGGCTCTCCAGGGGTCTACGTGCATAAGGGTTCTAAGGAATACTATAAAAGGAAGGGGGGGGGAACCTCCTAAATGAGTTAAACCATGAAAAATCTCATTAAAAGAAAAATATGTCGATGGGAAAAAGGCATTTCCCATATACTTTTTTTCTTTAAAGATTTTATTTATTTACTTGACAGAGAGCCCGAAGCAGGGCCATGGATCCCACTGAGCCACTCAGGCACCCCTAAACTAGGATTTTTAACAAAAAACAAATATAAAGTCAACTTTGGTGACATAAAATTTTAAATGTTTCTTGAAAATTGCCTTGAACCTAGAACTCGTTTTGTACATATATTAATTATAAATGTTTTCTTTTTTACTTAAAAGTTAAAAGCAAAAATCGGAGCACCTGGGTGGCTCAGTGGGTTAAAGCCTCTGCCTTCGGCTCAGGTCATGATCTCAGGGTCCTGGGATCAAGCCCCGCATCAGGCTCTCTGCTCAGCAGGGAGGCTGCTTCCCTCTGAGCCTGCCTCTCTACCTACTTGTGATCTGTCTGTCAAATAAATAAATAAAATCTTTAAAAAAAAAAAAAGTTAAAAGCAAAACTACCTTGAAATTTAAAAGACTGCATTCTCCTTTACAGCAAAAACACAAAGATACAAATTCAAGTAATTTGCTGGCACCCAAGACAAAATTAGTATGGATTTAAGCTCTTACCATGTAGTTTGTTTTATAGTGATTCACCATAAGTAAGCTTTAAAACTCAATGTCTTTAGAATCTAGCCTTAAAAAAAAAAAAAAAAAAAAAATCTAGGTCTGCATCATAATTACTACCTTAAAAGAGAAAATCGGAAAAGGTTTCATACCCAATTCCCCTTGTTATTTTTTCACAATGATAGAAAATTACCTTTGTCAGCCTCAGTTTTGTTTTGTTTTTTAAGTTTACTGTGTCAGCCCTTTGGAATTTATACTGCATTTCCTCATTGACACAACATTATAAATGGTAGTAATGATCCTACTAAAACCTATTCAACTTCTACTGTAACTAATGTGTGGGTGTTACTTACTGAGTCCTCAAATTCCTCTTCATTAACAGAAAATGTTTCAGTGCATGTTTTAAACATCCTGTATTGCAAAAATTTAGTCAGCTGATTTTGGAGGAACATTCCCGGAGAAATATGAGTTGACTCATTGCTAACTATTACAAAAGCCTCTCAGCTGGTCTCTCCCAGCCTCCAGTCTCTCCCTCCTGTGTTCTGTCTTCCCCTGCTTTGCCAGTTACCTTAATCGCAAATCTAGTTATGTCGTATGGAATCTGAAAAACCTTCTTGCCCAAAGAACTTCCTACAGGGTAAAGTCCAAACGTCTTATCACGGAATAGAAGGCTGTACCAATGGGTACCAATCTACCTTAGTTTCTTCCTTGCCTCCCTTTCCTATAGACCACCTGCAGACATTCTCTTCATTCCCTAACAAGTCATGTTCTTTTTATCCTTCCATACTCTTCACAAAAACTCTTTCTTCTCCTTAGAACACATTCATATCCTTTGATTTGAACATTCCCTGATGTAGATGAGATCAAATACCACTTATACTATAAACCTCCCCCAAGGTTTTATACATCTCCCATCAAGACTTTAGCCCATTTGGTCACCCTTTGCCCCTCCATAAGCATTAAGCATGGTGTCTTACAGAAACTCCATAAATGCTGACTAAATTTTGAAAGCATGACCACGCTTAAATGAAGGATTGGCCATAAACTGTTAAAGCCATGGTTAAGACCCATAAGGCTATTCTAGGTGCGTGTGGGTGGCTCAATCTGTTAAGCATCTGACTTCTGCTCAGGTACCCTGGGATCAGGCCCTGAGTCGGACTCCCCGCTCTGCATGGAGTCTGCTTCTCCCTCTCTCTCTGCCCACTCCCCACACTCCCTCATGCTCTCAAATAAATAAAATCTTAAATTTTTTTTAAAAAGCATAAAGATCTTCCATTCATCTATATGCAAGTATCCACTAATACATACATTAACATTAAAAATATAGTCTTATTAATATTTGCAAACAGACAATGATGGATTACTAAAACTCCAAATGTATATACTATACTTCACCTTACAGACTGGTAAATGTTAACCATCTATGAAAAGCACAGCAAAAACAGTGTTAACCAGAAAAGATATGGTGTCTTCCCATTCAATGAAGTTTCAGTATTTAGAGCTTCAGAATTCCAAAGAGGCAAATTTACTTAATTGCCCAAAAAAAAAAAAAAAAAAAAGCAATTCCTGAAGGTCAGCAATCCTACAGTGAAATCTTCCATCATCACCTTTGAGCAACTCTCAAGGCAACCTTCAGTAAAAACTCTCATTCTCCATCATACTCAAGGGCTAATAAAGAAAATAAGAGCCATGCAAACAATAATTTCAGCAAGAGCCAAAACAAACGAAGCCGTTTCCAGAAAGAAGCTAGAGTGTTAGCAATTTGTTACCACTACGTTTCGGCATCTCCACGATAAATACCTTACATATTCAAGGGAAGTTTCACGATTCAAAAGCAATCTCACATAAACGATTTAATTCTTACCACAATCCGGTGCTTAAGCAGAGCAGGGATTATTTTTACGGATTTAAGACATTACGAACCCAGTAAAAATGCAGATAGAAGACTGTTTGGCTATAGAAACATAGCACTTCGCTTCCAAAAATAAGTACTCTTTACTATAACAACAAAATGGCCCAAGACAAATGAGCAACCCTCCTTTATTCCATCACTAAATCTAGTTCGGTGGACATACTAGAAACTCCGCTCTTAAAATGAACGTCAAAACTTCAAATTATGATAACCTGGAGCGAAACTTCCATCTCCCGGTCTCTTTCCAACTCACAAGCAAAACCAAGCTCCATTTCTCAAAGCAGTTTAAACAAGAACACACCCTCGGCGTGCACTCAGACTCCAAGGCTTTTCAGCCGACTCCCTGAGGGCAGAGTTGGTCCCAGAGAAGTCCCAAGAGAGTCTGGGGGACCCAGTTATGAGCTAGATGGGGGTGGGGCGCACTGCAAAAGGCTCTGCCAAGCCGGAGACGGAGGAAAAGGGACCAGCCAGAACACTGCCAAGAAGGGTTTGGGGCGCCAGACCCCGAGCCTCGGGTCCGAGCACTCTCCACACACAGCTGGAGCGGCTCCGCCTCCCGACCCCAGGTCCAGTCCCCAGCCAGGCCCCTCCGCTCCCAGGCACCACGGGGTAACTCCGAGCGTCCCAACCCTAGGAAACAAATCTCAGAGGTCCCTGCGGGGCGGACACCCACCTGGCCGAGCCGCACCGAGAACTGGGCCCACCAAGTCAAACAGCAGCAGCCACTGGAGCCGGAGGACCCGAAAGGGCGAGCCTGCGCCCGATCCCATCGCGGCAGATTCCGCAGGTTCCACTCAACACTGGATCGCCTCTGCCTCCGCCTGCTCCATCATTTCCCAGCCCTGCCGGGGCCCCAGAGCTGGCCGGGATGCGCGCGCCCGGGACGAACACGCGCTCGGCACTGACGCAACTCGGCTCTTGTCCGAGCTCGCTCCCGACATCGCGCTCCCTACGCTGACGTAGAGAAAAATCCAGTCGCAGGCGGGAGAAGGGATTTCTGTCCTGCTGCTAAAATCCTGACGAGTTTGCCCCGCCCCTTCACACTCGCTGCCTCGCCTACTGCCTGTCACGCCCCGCCCTCTCTGCTCCTAGGCCCGCCTACTTTGGGCGTAGAAGAACCTGATTGGAGGAAGCACTAGAAGGAAAAGAAGGCGGAGAGCGAGCCCCAGAAGCGGAATTGAGGAGCAGAAATGAAGGGCAGCCCCGCCCCCCTGCGCAGCCTTTTCTGATTGGCTTGCGGGCGTTGGGCGGAGCGTCGAGCCGCGCGCCCATTGGCTATTTTGTGGCGAGGAGTCCGGCTCTGCGGAAAGGCCTAACCCGGCAGGGCTTGCTTGGGTCGAATGTGTAGGCTCGGCTTTGTGGTTGAGTCCGGGTCTCCGCCACTGGGCCCGGGAAGATGGTGCTGGGTGGTTGCCCGGTGAGTTACTTACTTCTGTGCGGCCAAGCGGCTTTGCTGCTGGGGAATCTACTTCTGCTGCACTGTGTCTCTCGGAGCCACTCGCACAACGCTACGGCCGAACCCGAGCTCACATCCGCTGGCGCCGCCCACCCAGAGGGCTCTGCCGGCGCTCCGAGCTGGGAATATGGCGACCCCCAGTCTCCAGTCATCCTTTGCTCTTACCTGTAAGCTACCCAGATGTCGAGGCAGAGATGGAGATGGGGCCAAGGATATACGGGTGTTGGGGTGGGGGAAGGGAGGCTGCTTTTTTTTTCCCCAGACCCTCTTCATCAGAGGACCTGTCAACATGCGGGAGGTAAATTTCATGCAGGTTTCTCACTCCTCTCACCCATCAGGGGGAAACCTTGTGTGTCGGTGGCAGATCCTTTGGGATCCCGAAAGAGAACTAGGGAGGAGTGACATCATATAGTCTTCGGAAGAAGGGTACGAGGTTGTGCCTTCTCTGTCCTGCTCCCTTTAACGAAGGAGAATCCATTGTAGGTGTTCATTATGAGGCACAAATAGAGGAAATGACTTGTCCTTGCCACAAGGCACTTTCTTTTAGAAAAGCAATATCCTAACCGTTCAGAACCAAGTCATTTTTAACATCTCTTTTTAGTCCATGAGAAAAGGCGTTTGGGAAATGCAGAGAGAACTGGGAATCCTTTGGCTTCAGTTTTGTTCCCATTGCCTTGTGGCTCCTTGCCTAGGAAAGGGAGAAAGCCATGGGAGTAGAATCCACGTAGAAATAGGACCAGAAACGCTCCCCTTCCCCAACAAAAGGATCATTTTGGATGGCTGTCTATTTGACCTGCTGTTCTTCAGTCTGACAGCATCTCTTGCCTTGGGGATCAGTCAGAATTAAACCCTAGAAAACTTGAAGAAGTGTCTCTTGCCTATTTTGATTATATACACTTAAACAGCCATTTGCAAAAACCATATGAGAATGACAGTCATGATCTTACCGGTGATTTACAGACCTGATGAATTTATAGAATGTGATGACCCAGTGGACCATGTTGGAAATGCAACAGCATCCCAGGAACTCGGTTATGGTTGTCTCAAGGTGGGTTTTCATTTTGTTTTATAAGCAAACTCTTCCATAGAGAAATAGTACTGGCCAAATGCTGTTACAACAAAGTATCAGGGGTATGAAGTTACCTTTCTATAGACTTCATTAGAATGACTTCCTGGAAATTTCCAGCCTGGCCAGTGTCAATGACCGATCAAGCCATTTCATTTCCTCAGGAAGAAGTATCTGTGCCAAAACTGCCCAGGTGCACAGACCAACCTGTCTTTGGTTCTTTGGGCTGATATTGACTGATTTAAAGCTATTATGTCACCTCCTCATTATCCTTCAAGTATGCACTTTCCTAAAAGAACAAAAGAAAGGCTTATGCTTTTTTTTTTTTTTTTTTTTTGCTTATGCACTTTCTAAAACCAATAATGGACTAAGCTGCATCTTTGTTACACATGCATTTCGGGCAAAGCTCCTTTTGCCAATGATCTTTCTTTTCATAAGGCAAGCATTTTCCACCATGTCCTTAAAAAATAGATGGGGTCTATCAGTATCTGCCTCTGTAGAAGGTTGTAGTATTCAAGGAGAAGCCTTGGGTAACAATGGCCTCTTGGGATGGAAGAAAGCCATTCAGTTCCATTAATAACATCCTAGTTAGTCTCCCCCAAAACCAGTGAAGTTCATGTACCTCCCCATCATGCTGCATAATGCAAGTCAAGATTCAATCAGGTATAAGAGTTATGGGAAAACATGGTTTGTACTAAATCAGAGACAGAGAAATAAACCTGAAAGTAATAAGACCAAAAGGCAACTCTTAATGCAGTCATGTGTAAAGAAACATTTTCAATAAAATGAGATCTTGATCTGTTGATAATTATCAATGAAGGTTTTGAAGGTTTGAGTAGCATTGTATAGAGATCACTTTTGCCCATTTTATTTTTTTTTTAAGATTTATTTATTCATTTGAGAGAAAGAGCAAAGAGGGGAAAGAGGGACAGAGGGAGAGAATCTCAAGCAGACTTGTGCTGAGCGCAAAGCCTGGATGCAGAGCTCAATCCCATGACCCCAAGATCATGACCTGAGCCGAAATCAAGAGTCAGGTGCTCAACCAAATGAGCCACCCAGGTGCCCCTGCTTTTACCTATTATAATTAAAAACTGAGCTGTTCCTGTCAGGCCACTCAAGCTGCCACTTTCCCCAGAAGTCCTAGAGGACCAGTACTCAGGCACCTAAATCCCAGGGAAGTATGATTTCCAGCTCCCTTCCCTTTAAGGAATGCACCAATGAAAACAGTAGTGAACAACTTAATAAGGTGCCAGTGGAGAATGTACAGCTGTGCTTTCTCTGCTAGAATTCAATTACATAAATGGTAAGAGGTCCTGTTCTGAAATTTTTTGCTGAAATTTAAACTTACACAAAAACGTACTACAGATATCTGATAATCACACATTCAAAAAAAAGTTCTGAGTCAGATGATATTCTGAGGTCTTTTCCTAATTATGTTCATTTACAATATATATAGAACAAACTTCTAATACACATTGATTTTTTAAATACCCATTCCCAAATGCTCAATTATGTGCTCTTTCCTGTAAATATAGGATGATTAAAATATTGTGTTCATCTATTCTAAGTGGTGTTTAATGAAACTGACTTTAAATTTTTTCACCATATTAAAGAAGCTAGTTACAAGGAAAAAAAAAGAGTTTATTTAAAACAACATACAGTTAGGGTGGAATAATTTAAAATCACTTGAATCACTAAATTCCTTGCTCTTGAACACAGCCTTACCCCAACTTTGTTAGTATAATTATTGTCCTGAGTCACCTCTTATTAATGAATATAAAGATCTATTTTGTGTAACTTCTTTGGTAAGTTTGGGTTGTTTTGTTTTGGTTTGGTCTTTATGCCACAGTTCGGTGGACAGGCCTACAGTGACGTGGAACACACTTCTGTCCAGTGCCGGGCCCTCGATGGGATTGAGTGTGCCAGTCCTAGGACCTTCCTGCGGGAGAATAAACCTTGTATAAAGTAAGTGTTACTTTGAATGGGGTAGTTGGTACTTGGATAGAGGTAGAGCTGTTTTCCTTGTCATCTCATGATATGACTTTTTTCTTTTATCTTAAGTGTTAAAGGGGCAACGTGATTACCACTGTGCATAATCCATGGGCAGGAGCGATGTGGTTACAAACAGAAAGGACACTGGACTTATGAGACCAGAGGCCATAAGTTCTAAATGTCTCTTTCATCAACAAGCTAAGTGCGGGTAGAAGACCGGAGACTTTGTCCCTCACCTACAAAATAAAGGAGCTAGACCAGATCATCTAGCTCCAAAATTCCTATGGTAGACATAAGTCCTATAAAAATAGCCTTAATATTTGAGGAATGAAGGTTTTATTCTTTCTTTATTTCTTTAAAGATTTTATTTATTTGTCAGAGAGAAAGAGAGTGAGAGCACAGGCAGAGGGAGAAGCAGACTCCCTGCTGAGCAGGGAGCCAAATGTGGGGGTCAATCCCAGCACCTTGGGATCAAGACCAGAGCTGAAGGCAGACGCTTAACCAACTGAGCCACCCAGGCGTCCCAGAGAAATAAAGGTTTTATTATGACAAGTGTGGATCTCTCTCCTGAAAAATAAGTTTATCTTAAAGAATTAGGGTAATTTCTGTAAATTTTGCTGGAAGGCACAGAATGTATTTATATCAGTTGCTAATGGAGTCCGTGGTGTTTGATGACGATATTAGAGCAATTGTAATTGAGTGTCATCGCAGTACATAAGACCCAAGTCCTTACTGAAGAAAACTCATTTTTAGTTGCCACAAAACAGCAGAAGGGTATACAGAGATCAGTGCTCATCTGAGGAAAGACAATGACATTTCCGTAGAGAACTGCATTCAGAAGTGCAGCCTCAGGAAAGCTGCCTGAGTCAGGGAGGGCTGCAGGCCCAGATTCTCCTCCTCCCAGGATGCCTACAGAGCACATGTGCTTGATTATCTCTTGTCCAGTCCAGTCAGTATTTGTTCCTTTATGCCCTAGGTAGTACTCTTTTGAGAGCCTAGGCCAACTAGAGATTTTCTTTTTGGGGAGAATGAGAGGCCACAGAGCGACTGCTACATCATCCTTTCGCTTACATGAAATTCATTCGTCCTTAAGTGTTTTAATTTTAATGTGGTAAACATCTTCCTCTTCATTCCTTCTGTCTAGGTACACGGGACACTACTTCATAACCACTTTACTCTACTCGTTCTTCCTGGGATGTTTCGGAGTGGACCGGTTCTGTCTGGGACACACTGGCACCGCAGTGGGGAAGCTATTGACACTTGGAGGACTTGGGATTTGGTGGTTTGTTGACCTTATTTTGCTCATTACCGGAGGGCTGATGCCAAGTGATGGCAGCAATTGGTGCACTGTCTACTGAGAAGGGCTGTGGTCGTGGCCCAGAGAGGCGCGTCTTCTGAATTCATCTCTACAGGCGCAAAACTCTTCCTTGATAACAGACCTGACCATTACTCTCCTTCTTCAGAGGGAATGGGTTTGGTTAGAAAGGTTTCTTTGGACTCTGGGTTTCCAACCCAAATTTTATCTTGCAGACTAGAAATGACAAGCAAACAGTGTTTGGGAATCAAGTGTGTACCTTTCCTCACATATAACATATAAAGGATAGTGACTAACTTATAAGTTGCAAGGGTTTCCATACTGTATTTCTATACATTGCTGTATCTTCAGTACATTGGAGCAAGTGGACCCGACAAGATGAGCAAAGTGAATATTTTTAGGTGCATTTTGTGACCCTGAATCTTCATGCAGAGGAGAGGTGAAGCTGAACCAGTGAAGATCTTCAGCAGAAATAAAATGGCCATGGATTTTAATACTCACTGAAATTCTGACTTTCTGAATTTAAGTTGTGGAATAAATTTTGCCAACCTGGAATGCTGTTTGGTATTTTCAGTAAGTAGAGTGAGACTCAAAATTCTGTATGTTTTGCTAAAAGCCAGGCATTTGAAATGAACCACTCTACTAATAAATCCTATTGTTACATCATTATTATGCTCCAGAGGCGGTATATGCAGTACAGTAATTTCTTCATTTCAGTTATATTTTGAAAGCCCAACAATAATCAGGTATGTCTGGGGTAAGCTCTCCTCTTGGCTATCCTATTTAAAAATTAGTTATATACAAGTTCAGAGAGCCTATGTTGTAGGCTGGTAAAAAATATATTCTACAACTAATATAAAATTATCTTCACAATTATGTCAGGTAAGGTGAAAAGCGTCATATCTTTGGGGCAAAAAGAAAAAAAAACAACATTCTTACTTAAAGGACAGAATTACCAAGAATTGGGTGGAGTTAAGACATGATTTATGGGGGCAAAAAAGAACACATTCCGTCAAAATAAGCATGGTACCAGAAGTTCTCACTGTGGGCTACCGGACTCAATTGTCGGAAAGAAGAGACAGCCAAGCTTTTGCATTCCCAAATCACTGGCAATAAAAGGAAATGTTCTAAATTGTAAGTTCTGAGAAACCTAGTTCTCATCCTTTGCAATTTAGGTTGAAAAGAACTCTTAAATATGAAGTAAAAGGAGGACTTTACAGACAGGTCGAACAAAGAGCCCGATATTCAGGATAAGTTCTAGAAACAATCAAGGTAGAACTACTCAAAACTTGGTCTCCTAATAGTTGACATAAAAACCAAGAATCACAGTTAAATTAACACTGGATATGCTCTATCATTATGAAGCAGCTTTCCTGAAAGCTTCAGCTTTATTATCCCTGATTAATATAATTACTGTTCTTATATTATTAAGTGGTTGACAAATGTGTAAAAATTAAAACAGATTATTCTGTCTTGAAAATTCTGTACCACATTGACCTAAACCTTGTTTGTAACTAATAATTGGTAGATTCTTATCCATAATGTCTGTATATAAGTATATAGTATTTTTTAAATTGTTGGAGGTCATGAAAAAACCAGACCCCCTCCCCAGGAAAAAATACACATAAATAAAATTTTGCATAGACTCTAAGATCCCATATTTTAAAAAAAACAAAAAACAAAAATAAAATACTGACTTGTAAGAGAAATCTGGAAAACAAATTAAAATCTTACCAAAGAAAATAAGATACTACTCTAAGCCATCCTACCTCATCTCACACTTTTCAAAAAAATCTTCAGAATATTCACAAACCCCATCAAAAGCTATTTTCTTTAAAAACACCAACACTTCGGCAGCCTTCAGGCTGAAAATCCCTAATGTTGCCAGGAGGATGAGCGTGGGTAAAAAGGTCATAGTCTGTAAGTTATTGAAGGATCTGTCCTATAAAAGAAGCCCTCTCCTACTCAGAAAGCTTTTGGAGACCACTGCCAGGGTGATCATGAGAACCTAGTGTTTCTCTGTGACAATCTGCAGTTGTCAGTTTGAATCTGATTTACAAATAATGCTCATCCTCCACATCTACAGACCCTGGCCAAATGTGGTACAACCTGGAAAACTAATTGAAAAAAGGCAGTGTTAGGAAAAATTCAATTTCCTTTGCACTCTGGATTCAGGTTGTTTCTTCATATTTGGTAGGTCTGTATGTGTGTGTATACACACATTTGTGTTATATCCAGTTTGTGGCTACAGAGAAGTTTTAAAATCCACAAGTGTCCTTCTGTCAAGGTTAAATTAGAAACTGCTTGTTTTTCAGTTGTTTCCTGTGTTGAAATAAAATGTTATCAGCTTCCCAGACTTCCTGGCACCATGTCCTTCACTTGCTTTAGTGGGGCTTCTTAGCAACATTAGAGCACCCCAAGCTAAAGGTCCCTAAGTGTGTGTGTGTGTATGTGTTTGTGTGTGTGTGTGTGTGTCTGTATATTTTAAAGCATTCATTTTTCTTAAGAAAGAGACCCTAAAACTTGTTAACTTTGGCACATCTCCAGTACGAACCAGGTAATATAGCTGTGGTTTTGTTAGATGATTTCTCTTTAAAGCAAGATACTTAATTGATTATTTCAGGTGTGACCGTCAGGAGCAAAGTTTGACTTCCTCGACGAACCATGATGGGAAGGGAATCATTGTCCTTAACAGCTTCAGTAACATCAGTTGTGGTGGTAACAGGTCGCCCATTTATGCTGACAATTACATCATGGTCTCTCAACCCAGAGCTGGGAGAGGGAGGAAAAAAAGGACCATGAAACTAAGTTTTACTTGTCCCCATTTAGAATTTAATGCCTGTCTTTTATGGCACTATCTTGCTGTCATTTTTTTAATAATTTTATTTATGTATTATTTATTTATTTTTCCCCATACAGTTGTACTCTGATCAGTTTGGTTTTGACAGCCCACTTACTTACCCCATCTCCACCCACAACATGATAGCTCTGCTTCCAGTTAAGTCAAAAACCAGTCGTGCTTTCAAGACTAAATATTCAAGGTTCTGGTTCTAGGCTCCTTTTCCCCACAGTTGTGATTATATTCTGTCTCCAATATATTTGCTTCACATAGAATATATATTCTAGAAACAAAAAACACCTCCAAACATGAAACACTTCAAAAAATATATAGCCATGCTGATGATTTCTCTTAAAGTCAGTAATGGGGGCGCCTGGGTGGCTCAGTGGTTAAAGCCTCTGCCTTCCACTCAGGTCATGATCCCCGGGTCCTGGGATCGAGCCCCGCATTGGGCTCTCTGCTCAGCAGGGAGCCTGCTTCCTCCTCTCTCTCTGCCTGCCTCTCTGCCTACTTGTGATCTCTGTCTGTCAAATAAATAAATAAAATCTTAAAAAAAAATTGTTTAAAGTCAGTTATGGGCTGGAAGAGGGACAGCAAATTAAATGACTCCAAGTGACTTCAAGAAAGCAGTAGTCCCACATTTCAATGTTCATCCAAATCACCTGGAGATCTTGTTTAAAATGCAGATTCTGATTTAGTGGTAGGGCCTGTCATTCTGCATATTTTTCTTTTTTCTTTTTTTTTTTTTAAGACTCATTTATTTATTTGACAAACAGCGAATGAGCTGGGGGAGAGGCTGAGGGAAAGAGAGAGAAGCAGACTCCACACTGAGCACAGACCCCAACTCTGCGCCAGATCTCACAACCCAAGACTATGACCTGAGTCTAAGTCAACTGTCGGAGGCTCGACCAACGGAGTCACCCAGGTGCCCTTCTGCATTTCTAAAAGAGCCCCAGGTGATGCTGTGCTGCTGGTCTACAGACCACATTTGAGTAGTAAGGACCAGGATACCTGAAAGAAATAGCTTTAGCCTTGAACCAAAAGATAAAAATAAAGGGTTGGGGGGGAGGGCAGGAAGCAAGAAAATCTAGAAAGGCCTATGATGAGCCAAATTTAGTAACACAAGACCTAACATTTCACTATTAACAGTTAGTACCCCATGGTTTCTTTCCCCTACTGAAAAGAGTTGTCATAATATCAAAAGATAATTGAGCTTTGAGAAACAAAAGTAGTGTGAAGTATGCTCAAGAAATATAAGAGAGGGACCCAAGAGAATAATTGTAGGACAAGCCACCTCTTCCCTCAGTAGTTAGTATAAATGTTTAAAAACAAGAGTAAAATCAGCTGGAGCACTTCTTTGATGAGCTGTTTTAGCATCTGCTTTATTAACATTCACTCATTCAGTGCTGGCCTCTAGTTCAAAGGAAAAAAGTACCCTAAAGTACCTAAAACACGTTCTTAAGCCTTCAGCCCTCTGAATTTTTCCTATTCTTAATAAATAAGATATCAAGAGTAGATTCAGGAATTCCTAGCAAAACTGATTTAAAACTTACGCTATTAACTCATCATGAATTCCTGAGCTATAAAAAACCCATCCCAATAAAAAATACAAAGCCAGTCTAAAAAAAAAAAAAAAAAAAACCCACCCCCTTCCCAAAAAAAAAAACAAAAAAAAAAAAAACACAAGTACACAAGTCTAAATCAGCACTGTCCAACAGAAGTGTAAGGCAGGCCACATATGTAATTTTAAATTTTCTGGTAGCCAGGCTCCGTAGCTCAGGGGTTAGAGCACTGGTCTCGTAAATTTTCTGGTAGCCACACTTTTTAAAACGTTCTTTATTTTTGGAAATCTCTAAAAACAGATGAGGCTCATTTTAATAATATACCTATTTAAGTCAATATGTGTATTATTTAATATGTAACTTTTTAAATTATTAATAGGTATTTTAGACCGTTTCATATAAGTCTTTGAAACCCACTAGAAACAACACACATCTATTGTGCTGCTATACAACATCTTAAACAATGCAGTTGATTAAAGTTACAGGCAGTCCTTCCAAAACAAAAGGCATGTCTCATGGAAAAACTTTTATATAGCTTGCCTCTGTTTTGTTTTTTGTTTTTTGGTTTTTTTTTACTTAAATAAATTAAAATTAAATAAGATTCTGTTCTTCAGCCACACCAGCCACATCTCAGTGTTCAATACCCATGTGTGGCTAGGGTCACTGTACTGACTCGTGCACATCTCGATCTAACACACATTTACCATGGCATGCTGGGTAATGGGCCAAGTCCTGAGCTCTTACCTTTCAGCAGCTGTTCCTTGAATCACCTCATACACAAAAACCCCAAAACTCACATCAGGGAAATCTGGATCTTGCCTTTTCAGCTCTTGAAGAAGGCTAAGAAAAGTGAGAAAGTTTCCCCAGAAGGTTAAGAAACACAATGAATTCATCACCTGAGCCCTGGTTGAAGCCTCCAACTCAATAGGTCCTCTTGTGTGTTCTACTGAAGGCTCCAGGCAGCCACTGAGGATTCCATCAGGCCAGTCGCAATTATTCTTCCCTGGGGTTGGCCCGGTTCTCTACCAAAGCCCCGAGCCACTGGACATTATAAGCTCCATATAGCCACAGTGAAAGAAGCTAGTGAAATGTACCGCAAATGATTCAGGCAGAGGCAGATACCTACCCCGTGACAACGGGGCCCTACACTCACAAGGGTAGCCAGCTAGAGCCCACATGCTTTAGATTCCCTGTTAAGACCGTCCAGCTCTGCCTTTTGCTTCTGAAAAACAGCCCAGACATACTGAAACCCCTGCTTACTTCATAGTGAGAGGCAGCATTCGCAGACCGAGATACTTCTTCTGTGAAAGAGCCTTTCCTGGAAAGGAAAGTTATAGGGTGTTACTAACAACAAAACTTCTTTCCTTCTGGCAGAGCTTAAAAGACACGAGTCACGGAACATCCTTACTATTATTATAACTGCCCTTTCGGGCTGTCAGCCATGAAAATGTGCTTCAGAGAACCTTTGTCGCTAGCATGGACACTCCTCCCATCCACCTCCCATCTCCAACCCATGGGTTTCCCTTTCGCCATAATCCACGTATTTCTGGGTACAACACACACCCAGTTTTGTGCCCAGTTCCCCCCTATTGCCCCCCAAACCATCGTGATAAGACCTGGGTACCAGGGACTCAGTATTCTACACAATCCTAATGGTGGCCTCTAGAACAGATGGAAGGCTCCTGAGAAACACAAGAGGGGAATAAAAAGTCATAACTCCCCTCACCTTTCAACTGGCGCTCATGGAATTCTGCCAAGAACTGTCGAATTCGATCTGAGGGAATCGCAAAGGAGATTCCTGCAGTCACCTTCAATGTATTTATGCCAATCACGTCACCATCCTGGCAAGGGAGGAGACATCATTCAGTCGCCAAGTCATGCAAACGGACCAGGACAAAACCAGGACCGGCAGAGGAGGGAGTGAAGCTAGTCTCTGAGGCTCAGAGCACAGAGGGGCTAGAGTAAAGGGGACTTCCTCAGAAAGCAGTGGATGTTACCCTTATAGGAACCTACCCATGTGCAGATCCCTGCTGAGGATATTTTTTCTTTTAAAGATTTTATTTATTTAACAGAGGGAGAGATCACAAGTAGTCAGAGAAGCAGGCAGAGAGAGAGGAGGAAGCAGGCTCCCCGCTGAACAGAGAGCCCGATGTGGGGCTCAATCCCAGGACCCTGAGATCATGACCCGAGCCGAAGGCAGAGGCTTAACCCACTGAGCCACCCAGGCGCCCCCTTGCTGAGGATATTTTTTAAAACCTGAATTCATTTTTTCCTTCGTCAAATGATTTTAAAAGTGAACCAGTTTGTATTTTGACACAGATAAGAGGACAAGGAGTACTTGCCTTTTCTCCTCACATGAAACTAAAAATAAACATGGAAAAGGCAAAAAGCTGTTGGATTTTCAGCAACACTTCAATGGAACTCTTCAGAGTTAGCTAATTGACCTCAGAGAACAAAGCTCTACAAGGCCAAAGCTATGAAGTGGGAAACACTTTCCTCTTCATGCACTCATCACCCTTTAGCCTCTGTTGGGTAATGGGAAGGATAAAAAACGAGACTTCTGATCATATTAAAACACACACCATAATTCAGTAGGTCTGGTGTGTGGTCTGACAATTTGCATGTCAGCCCTGCTCTACTAAACTCATTGTCTTTTTTTTTTTTAAGGATTTTATTTATTTGAGAAAGAGTAAGAGAGAGAGCGTGAGCACACACAGAAGGAGAGGGAGAAGCAGACTCCCCACCCAGCAGGGAGCCTGACGCTGGGCTCAATCTCAGAACCCTGGAATCATGACCTGAGCTGAAGAGAGATGCTTTACCGACTGAGTCACCCAGGTGCCCCTAGTAAACTCACTATTAGAGAAAGCAGGCACAAGAAAACTATATGAGTAGCATTACTATGAGTAAAAGAGCGCTCAGTAATTTCACTTAGTTAGTTCAACCTCCAAAAAGCAAGTGTAATGTGTGAAGAACGGAAAATAATCAGCTCAAAGGGACTCAGCATGATCACAGACTATGTGTCAAACAGCACTGCACTTCATGTTTTCACAGGTATTTAAGCAACTAGAAACTCTCGCCTTTCCACTAGAGATGATGAGCAACATCTGAGAATTAAATACATGACAGAGCGGTGGATTCTCCCTGCGGCTTCTCTCTGTCAGGACTAAAACCCCAAACAGACCACGTCATGTAGTCATGAGCACTTTGGGATGCGGGACAGTTCTTCCCATGCAGGAGCCGGCGGTCTTCAAGTATAGACATTACATAGCACAGTGGGTCATCTGACTTATATTTTAATTTAGTGTCCTGAGCTTTTGTTAACTTGGCGATGAAAACAGCATGGCAAAGAGATGTCAGTAAGCAAAAGTAAATGATGATGGGTAAATGATGATAACCCCACCACAGATCTTAGATCTTCGCTAACTATTTACTTAAGATGCAATCATAGAAAAAGCATCTTACCAAGATCTCTACACAAAAGTGACATCCTACTCTGCATCGTCAGTCTTGGAAAGTTGGGAAGAGACATGAGACAGCCAGGAAAGTGGTCACTTACCAAGTTCACCAGAGGGCCCCCAGAATTGCCGTGCTGAAGACGGAATTTGAAAAAATCATCAGTGCTTTTCTCCTTGTCATTTATACATGGTTCCTAAAGAGGTTTACCCAAAGCAGCCAGCTCTGGGGAGCCCCTGTTCCTCACAGACAGACAAAGCCTCACCCCTGTCATCACCAACACTGAAGTCAGTGCGGGTAACAGACAAGAGCCAAAGGATCACCACCTTCTACAGCAGGGGTGACCTCAATGACAGACCCAAAGAGACTGTTCAATATCATGGATGCCGACGGTCACATCAAACGGGCTAAACTCTAACAACATGGCATTCCATCTCTCCAGTGAGGGTCTAACTGAACTCTGGACAGCCCCAACAGGCCAAAGGGAAAAGAGGGGCTTCTGACATGTTCTTCTCACTGTCCTGCCAGTACATTATGGGCTGAGGATGGCCCTCCCGAGTAACTTACGTTAATTATGGCATCCGTCTGGATATAGTCCATGTCTGAATTCTTCAGCCCCAGCTCTCTGCTCCCTCGCTGTGTAGAGCTGACAATTCCTGCCGTCACTGTGTTCTGCAGAGAAAACGGGCTGCCCAAGGCCACCACGAACTCTCCAGCCCGCAGGTCAGAGGACCTGCCCAGCAGCAACACAGGAAGGTCAGTCTGCACACAGCCAGGAGGGGTGGGAGGGACAGAGAGATGAACAAATCAAGAATAGAATCAACCAGTATTTGTGTACAACACACATATGACAAGGTCTCGGTCATTTGGACACTTACAAGCCAAGAATCCCCCACCCTCTCACATGGGTTCTGTAAGTGCCTGATGCTTCTTCCTCATATTCCAGCAACCACGACCTCTCACTTGGTAAGATGATCAGGATCATCTCTAAAATCTAACATTATTGTTCTGTAGAAATTACTGTGACCAAAGGACCAGTGGAGTAGCTGATGAACATACACTGACATTAGCAAGTAGCACTATACCAGCTCAAAATTTTAATTTTTTAAAGATCATTTATTTGAGAGAGAGAGAGGGAGGGAGAAAGAGAATGACAGAGAGAAGGCAAGCACAAGTGGGGGAGGAGCAGAGAGAGGGAAGCAGACTCCCCACTAAGCAGGGAGCCCGATGTGGGGCTCAACCCCAGGACCATGAGAAAATGACCTGAGCCATAGTAGACACTTAAAGACTGAGCCACCAGGCACCCCCCCAGCTCAAAATTTTAGATCCAAAATTAAACCACAAACAGAAAGATCGCCCAGAGCCGTGCTTCTCAAATTTTAATGTGTACACGAATCACCTGGAGATCTTACTAAAATGCAGATTCTGACTCAGTAGACCCAGGTGGGATCTGAGATTCCGCATTTTTAAAAAAATTCTCAGATAATGTCTGATGCTGCTGATGTGCAGACGAGACTTTGTGTAGCAAAGACCTCGGAGTATTCCTCAGCAGCTCTGAATCCATTGCAATCATTCCTAGTATTCTAAGGCAAGCAGAGAAATAAGTTTCCCAGAAGCATCTGTTGAAGGAGGAGGCTGGATAGTTAATAGAAGTTGTTAGAAATATACAGACGGGCATAGCAGAAAACCAAAGAGTGAAAAACAGGGGGAAAAGGAAACTAGAAAATAGCATATACCAGGTAGAAAAGATGTGGCATGGGAACGGGGATGGAGCAGAAAATATCAGCAAACTGGTGGAAATCCCCAGATGCACAGACTGACTTGGTCCTGCATACTCACATTTGGCTCAATCTTAATCAGCGCAAGATCCAGTTTATGGTCAATGTCTTTGACAGTGGCTTCATATTGGACCCCACTCTGGAGCTCCACCTGGATCCGATGCTGGTTGGTGAGGACGTGGGCGTTAGTAACAATGAGCCCATCCTCAGACACTATGAACCCAGAGCCACTGGACGCAGGAATATCCTTGTTGCTAAGAGGTGACCTGTCCCAGCAAAACCACAGCATAAGCAGAGGGCAGGAAAATCTCAGGATCCATCCCAGTCTGGGAACACGGAACCTCTCATTTATCAAATACAGCTCCACCACAGTTTTCTCAGACATTTTACTATCCCCTGTCTGTGTTTTCATTCTCTCCATGTCTAACTGGTCTCTGCAGGTTCAGCGCCCTAGCCATCTCTTAGGAACCACGACTGAGAGCTGAGTCCAGCTCTCCTTTTCCAGGGATGACCCCCTCCCCTCCTTCTTAAGCGCCGGTCAGAGAAGCAACTCTCTGCTTCAGAGGCCTCACCTAACCATACCACTGCAGACGTGGACCTGGTGCCTCATTATTGAGGAACCAGGCGGGGAGGGAGTCAAAGAAGTCTGGTTCCAGCTTGGGTTCCACTACTAACTGGCTTTGTGACGTAGGATTTCCTTCCAGGCAAATGAGGGGCCTGAGCAAGTTCACCATCAGGATGCCTTCTGGCTCTGACATCGGACCTTCCATTTTGTCCGTGCGAGACGAGGAGGAGAGAAACCCCAGACACCTAAGTGCAGAGGAGTAGCCCCTATTTGGAAGTCACAATCCCTACGCTTCCGCTCTTTGGCTAAACCACCCGGAATAGAGTATACAACCTGCTCGAGCCGCGATTTCCTCACAGCGGGTTTTATGACTAAACGATGCCTGGAAACGGATCCGGAGCGGGTGAGCTCTCAGAAACAGCCCGCTGGGGTAGCTGGCGGCCTCGTCCTGCCTCCTTTACCTGCGGAACAGCTGCAGGTGAACCACAGACGGTGCCACCTTCTCCACCACCTCCGCGATGAAGTTGTACTTGCTCCGGAGCCCGCCCGCACTCCTGGTCCCTGCGAAGAAATGCTCCATTCTTGGGGGGCGGTGGGCGCCCCGCTGCTCGGCCGGACCAGGCGTCATATCCCAAATCCCCCGGGCTCTCGCCTCCTCCTCTCTCCTGTCCCTCCCTCTCCTGGGTGTATTCGCCGCCACCCCGCAAGGAGACGCCTTGAGGGAACCAGACCTGTCATCCCGGATGGAAAGAAAAAGAGAGAAAAGAAAAAAGGGAAGACGCCATTCAACAGGCCTGGGGAGGCAGGCGGGGAGAAGCCGCATGGGAACTGGTAAGGAGACACCTCGGACGGAAAGAAAACTGGGAACGGGGAGTTGAATCGGGAAGCAAAGGCGGGAGGCCCGCGGCGAACCGCGCGACCGCGGCGAGCGGCTTTGGGGACTCGCGAGCCGTCGGAGCGCGCGGATGCCCGCGCTCACCTTGACCCGCGCAGTCGCCCTTCAGCACCGGCAGGGCGGGCAGCGCGCCTCGGAGGCGCGCGGCGCGGTTGTCGGCGCGCAGCGCGCACAGGCTGGGGTAGGTGCGCCCGTCGCTGCCGCACACCGCAGTCCCCGCCGCCGGGCAGCCGCACGTGCCGACCCAGGCGCCGCGGAGGCGCGGGGCGCTGAGCGGCGCGCGACACTGCAGCCCCGGGGCGCACGGCAGGCCCAGCGCCCCGCCACAGGCCTCGCCTTCCGCCGCGGCGCAGACGCGGCAGCAGCGGCAGCGATCGAGCACCGGCGTCGACCCCACCGAGCAGGTGGGCAGCGGGGGACAGCGCGTGGGCTCGCAGACCCTGGGACAGGGCAGCAAGGTCCTGGACCTCCTAGCTTCGACTCTGGGCACGGGCAGCGTGGGCAGCAGCAGCCACAGCAGGAGGAGTCGTCCTGGCACAGCTGGTCGCAGCAGCGGTCTAGTCATCTTGCCCTCTTCCTTCTTCACTCTCCAGTTTACTTTGGACCCGCAACTGCTCTAAAATGAGCAACACTTTCTCCCGGTTAGGTGCCGCCTCCGTCACCCCCAGACTTTAAGGGGCAGAGCCTGGCAGACCTCTCCATACACACACACACACACACACACACACACACACACACACACACTCATCCCCTAGCACATGTCCCTGCCGCCGCCCCAGGGCCAGGTCCACCCCACGCAATGAAGAGAGGTCCCCAGCCCTGCCCTGTGCAGGGACCTACCTCGGGAAGTCCAGAAAACCAATAATGGGGCAGACTGACAGAAGAGATCACCCACCCACGGACAGAAGGTCAGTGTTAGGAAAACATACACCATATTTCAGTATTTCACATGATTTTATTACAAAACAAGCAACAAAACTGTTTTAGAAAATTATTTTTTGCTACATACCAATTAGGAGATCACATCAAATGAGAAGCGTAACAGTTTCCATGCACTCAGCTCAGTGCTTACAGTGAGTGCATTTCACAGCTGAAACATACTGGTTCAAAACACAAAATCATGCCACACCTTCATAAGCAGTGGGGGGAGAGGTCAAACAATATATTTTTGCTAATATTAGCTTTATTCAAATTCTACTTAGCACAAGTGACTGTAACTGACTGCTGCAGGCAATAACAGAGAGAAAAAAAGAGTATGAAAAAAAGTGATGGTGGTAGAAAAGATTTGCTAAACTGTCCATTTTTGACATGTTCAAAGTTTATAAACATAAACAAAGCTCATTTGGGAAACTCAATTTCCAAAACAGTGTTACTGGTCAACAGTGAAAACAAACATCAAATCCCATGCTCAACTCTATTTAGGTCCTTTTAGCCCGTATCAGAGCACAGTTGTTATATTCAGCAAGGAAAATAAACCTTTTGCTTCAAGTGAACTATAAAGCTGGATCTTCCCTCTGCTCTTTCTCACGTGAGTGAGCTCAGCATTCTACTCAGAAATAAACGTATAACCTCCGATATTTTGACCTGAGACTACTCTACACCTTAGTAGGTGTATGGTGTCTCCCAGGATGCAAAAGGTCCAACAATGTTTCCGTACCACCAACGGATCTTGAGTAAGCAAATCCTTAAGTTCTCAAGAATAGGGGATGGTAAAGAGTTCAATTATTGGGAAGGTCATCTGTAATACTGTTACACAAACTGAGTCAAGACCATTTCGAAAGTCTTAGGAAAACAGCACAACTCAGAGAAGGATTTTATTCCACAAAGAAAATGCAGTACCTTTTTGGTTCTCCCCCCCACCAAACTCAGATTTATTCCAAAACCTATACATTTAACTAGTAACCTATACTGCTTCCCTGCCCTACTTTTTCCATCTGGTTCCATACACATTTAAAGCCAAATGCTTTGACTATATATGCACTATCTTTGGCTCACATGCGCAGTGACATTAAAAAGTTGTGATGTGAAATTGGCCAGAAGGTAAGAAATATGGACACAAAAGGAATTCTGAAATAAGGTTTGGGGATGACAATCCTTACAGACTCCACTGAAGATAATTCTATTTATCTGGTATTGGAACTACATTAACAATGTTCCCATTTGGTATTCCCAAGTATTTGCCAACTAGAGTCCTTGTTTTCCCCCTCTTTCACAATAATAATATAATCTAGATTTATAAGTATGTTTAATTTAACACATCCTAAATAGACCCTAATGAAATAAGAAACATATAAGCTTACTATAATGGCCAATTAATTGAGCAGTAGTATTCTAGCAGAGAGTTTATTTAACAAAAGAGAAATGGGTACATTTTCACAGCTTAAACACCAAAAGATGACAGCTTACATGAGTTAGGGAATGTTTTAAGGGATCTCCTAACTTATTTTTGTTAGTGCAATATCACTTATTTTGTACTTTCTTTGATCTATCTAGCCAAAGAATTTTCTTGAGGAAAATCTGAAGACAAAGTGAAAGACAAAGAGCTTTAAGAATCTGAAATGCCTACTTATCAGGCTACTTAAAGCTGTAACCTTGGTCATCCATAAATAACTAACTCTCAAGCCACAAATTTCTGATGACAAAAGTCTACAAGAGTCTGCAAAAAAGAGGACAGAGAGAGAGAGAGAAATCCAGTACTACATGTCTTTTCTACCAGAACCACTAGGCCAAAGAATTTAAGTGAAAAAAACAGCTTCAATGCAGTGCAGTCAAGAAAAGTTCTCAACATGACATAGACTTCAAAGAAATTACACTGCCTGGAAGGAACAAAGATTTCTCTCACACCCCTAAAGATTTCTGATGACACGTTTTTACCTCTGTATTAGATCTAGACATAAGGAAGGAGAAGGGATTGACTTAGGTAAAAATGCATCTCTTGGTATCTTCCTCTAGTCATTAATTTTTAATTTAAAGCTAATTAACTGATCTAGCTGATAAAAGACATAGACAGAAATGAGTTAGTTTTTCTCTCCCTTTAGAGAACCCTGATAAGTTAACAGTTCAGCACGTAAGTTGGACAATTCTCCCAGGGACCCTGGAAATAGTATCTTCTTGTCAAATGAAAGAAGGTACACCCAAAAATCTGGGTGGGAAGTGCCATCTATGCTCTTCTACCTGGGAAATCTCTAGTCAGCAATGCAGAGCCTCTAAATCAATGTTACTATGCAGAGTTTCTGTTTTACTAAAAATATAAATACCTCTCAAGATTATCTTTGTATCTCTTCATTGTTAAGTACATGGAACCTTATTTAGGGTTACAAGGTTTGATCATGCAAGTCCGCAAAGTTGCATTCAAAGGGCAACAGAAAGAGTAGAAAGAAAGCAAATCCGCCAGGGTTTATAATATACAGCACTTAAAATTAGACTAACATCAGCCCACTGAAGAAAGCTATGAGGTTAAGGATTCAAGAAATCTGTCCTGAAACAGACCTTTTCTTCTGTCTGGAAAACACGGATCAGAAAAGTTTATCTGGATGTCCGTCTTTTCCCAGGACCTACTCGAAAGCAATTCTAACACTCTAAGATAGAGATCTGACCTCTCACACAAGGGAATTATCCTACACTTATCAACCCTCCGAACTTCCAAATAATGCCCTAGCGATGGAAATGTCTGCTCTATTCTCAATAGTTGTGACTTTTAACACCGATAAACCCATCCCCAAGGCCTGACACAGAAACTGGGGGGCAGGTCTGTCACTCACTTTGACATTATTTGGGGTCATAGACAAGAACAGAATAATTCCCAGAACTGGCCGACCCACGGAGGTGGAATCTTTGCCCATACCTTCACACGAGATCCCTATTTCTTCCCCTCTGGCGGTCCCCTGGGAGGCTCTACCCTCGTAGACATTCTGAGAGCTACCTGCCGCCCCCCAGATTTTAACACCACCCCTCAGAATGTATCCCCGGCAAACCAACTGGGTTAGTTACAACCTTCCTACTTCACAGTCAGACCTCAGCCAATAAACAGGAATTAGATAAACCAGAGGACTGGCCCAAGATTCTGTGCCTGGCCTGGGAAGTAAAGGAAGAAACTATAACTAGGACGAGGAAATACAACTTGGTTGGGGATGAAATTGTACTCCCAACCTCCTCTGACCAGGAAGATCTTAGGGAAAGTAGAGGCAACCTGCTCTCCACTGAGTGTGCTCACAGGTCTAACCTAGTTTCCAAGTTAAATACACTTGGAAATATTTTAAAAAATATTTTAAAAAATATTAAAACAAAACAAAACAAAAAAACCAACAGGCCAGCTGGATGGGCCCCTTCCACCGAGCCTCCACAGGAATATGAGTGCCAAATGCTCTCTGACTGTCCTCCAAAACGTAGGGAAACTGAGTGATGGCCTCCTTTTCTTGAGTCCTCCCCCCTCCCAGGACACCGTGCCCTATCACACATCAGAAGTCCGTATGCTCTCGTCATCAAGGCTGAACAGAAATGGTTTCTCCTTGGGGTGCTGGGGCTCCGACCTGTGCCTTATCCGGGAGCTAGACAACACCCCAGAAGTACTGCTCTCCCCAAGTCGAGGCATGAACAAAGAGTCCCCAGGAGTCTCTTCAGCTGGAAGCAGCTTGTCCCCGGCCTGGGGGACAGGGGTCCAGGGTTGCCAGGAGGAAGCCACAGAGGGGGCTTTGCAAAGAGCTTTTTTCTCTTCCACAAGTGGCCGCCCCCTGCACAGGACAGAGTTGGGCCCCCCCGAGAGGCCGGAGCTTCCAGAGCGAGTCAAAGAAACGGATCTAGAAAAGGACATATCCTACAAAAATAAAAGGGAAGGGGAAAAAAAGGAAAATAAGACCTTTCCTGACAATGTTTATCCCAAAGCCCCAGGAAGAGCCCCCACCCAGGATCACCCCCTCATAGGTTCAGGGCACTTGTCTCCAGAAATCAGGTCTGACCAACAGAATTCACTCCAGATGTGTCAAGGTCTGCCTGGCAGGGAGACGGGTAGAACACATCACAGACTCTGTCTCTTTACCCAGCCCTACCTCACCTCTTTCCAACAACCAAAAAAAAAAAAAAAAACAAAAAAAACAAGCAATTAAACTTTGTGTAAAAACAAAAATCAGTAGAAAGAGAAAACAAATATGACAGCCCGAGGCTTCAGCTGCCTCACCAAATAAAACCTGCCCCTCAGAGCGACTCCGTCTCTTAAGTTGACAGTGACCATGTACCAGAAAGGAAGTGACTTACTCTGGGGTGGCACTTGAGGGCCTGGACAGCTGCCCCGATCTCCTTAATCCAGCTGTGCATGTCTTCTGGACTGTCCGCCTGCAAAACAACCACAGCACTTAGGGAGAAATGTTTGGCACTATGATTTCAGCTCGCAAAGTCTGTGATTCAATTCTAAGTTTATAAAATCACACCATTAGAGCTGGAAGGAGCCCAGAGACCATGTCGTCCAGTGGCTCTGACTTATGAGGACATTTGATTCCTGAAAACTCATATCTGACACCCCATAAATAAAACAGCTCCAAGCAGAGCTGCTCTGCAGCGAGGCAGAGGCCGTCCCTGCTGAAGCCCCTCACCCTGTCTGGAACACAATGGGCTTCCACGGAAAAGAAAAATGAGGCCCAGAAAGCCAAGCTAAAGGCTTACAGTTGGTCTAGATTCCAGTTCTCCTGACTCCCAGTCCAAACACCTTTCTACCACAGCCATCCAAAGAGAATAATCCCTTTTCCAACTCCAGTCCTGCTAAAGCCAAACCCTCTGCAAATCCTCCAAGATATATATTATCTCCAGGAACAAGGCTTCGCTCAGAGCACAAGCGACCTGGGTCTGTCTGGACTCCATCCAGGCCTGAAGAGTCGGTAGACTCAGCACCAAGCTTACCCAACAAGAAGGGCATTGCTGAACCTTTAAAAAGCAAAGCCCCCAGAAATACCTACCGACCCCAGAAGGGGGCAGCAGCAGCTCTGTGAAGAGAGGAAGGAAAATGAAATGGCCAAGCAGCAGCAAGTGGAGCTGGAGCCCTCAGGATTCTCAGGGCCTTCCAGCTTTACAGTAGTTGAGTTTAAGGGAGCCTAGCAAATGCTTGCTGCGGACTCAGTCTTAACACGTGGCATCGGGGCCAGGCACAGAGATGAGACCAAGACCAAACCCCTGACCTCCAGAAGTTACCCTTTGGTAATCTCTCTCCGCGCCCTATGCCTTCCCCTAACAAACAGTCTTACCCCAAATCACAAGTGTTCATCTCTGTGCCTATGCAAGGTATATGTAAATGCCACCCTCCTGCCTGCAAAATTCTCCACATAGGCCCCTCACTTTCCCCATTCCCCCAGATGATTCTTTCCTGTTGCACTGTGTCAGAATAAAACTACAACTAGTTTTTTTTTTAAATCCTCAAAGTGCCGTTCTGTCACCCCAAACAAACCCTCATTAGTTAGGTGTGTGCAGAAGACACTTAGAAAAGAAATGGTTTCAGGGGTGCCGGGGTGGCTCAGTCAGTTAAGCCTCTGCCTTCCGCTGAGGTCATGATCTCAGAGTCCTGGGATCGACCCCCGCATGGGGCTTCCAGCTCAGAGGGGGAGTCAGCTTGTCCCTCTGCCTCTGCCCCACCCTCACCACCCACCCCCCAACCCCGCCACTTGTGCTCTCTCCTCTCTCCCTCTCTCCCTCTCTCAAATAAATAAATAAATAAATGGAATCTTAAAAAGAAAAGAAACCGTTTTACATGCTGGCATACTGGGTTAAGTGGGTATAAAAACAACCTGAACATTTCTCTCACACGTTAGAGCTGCAACTTCACCTGTATTCTCTCTCACCACCCCAACCCCTGGGCTTTTCCCAGTTGTGTCACATCCTGGTGATTGGTTTTCCAAGAAAAAGACAAATCCATCCCTAGTTCAAGAAGATAAACAGGATGAGCTGTCCAAGATTCTTCCAGAAGTTATTTTACTAATCTCAGGGCTGGCCTGTTCTACTGGTGAGTAGAACCACTGGGAAAATGCAATGAACCCATTTAGGTAAAGCAGTTTGAACAGAAAGTATTAGTTATTGCTGTTGTTATTATACGAGGGACACAAATGAAGCCTTAATTCTAACATTATATATAAATTCCAACTATATATGTATATGTATATTATATATACATATTAATATATAAAAAATAAATTCCAACATTATATACATAATGCATATAAATAAATATAAAATAAATAATATAAATGAATGTTATATTAATATATTAATGTATGTTTATTATATAATATATAAATATACACTATATAAATATATAATATATAAAGAAATTTATAAATTCCAACACTATATATATATACACATATATAAAATATACATATTCAAACACTATATATATATATATATATATATATATATATATATATATATAACTGGCCTCTCCCTGAGATTTTTGTTTGTTTCCTCATACTCAAACCACAAGTAATTCCTGCCTAAGAATCAAATTGTCCAGATGAAATAAGATAACCTACTTGGCTACTTTGAGTTGAATTAGATAGAGGTAATTAAAAATTGTCCACTAGTAGAAAAGCATTTCTCAAAGGTTTTCCTTCTAGGGAGACAGCTGATCTGATAGGAGGAAATGTAAGAAGACCGGGAGAGATGGAGATGAGAACTGAGGGAAAGACAAATGTCTCCCACACCATACAGGAGCTCTGGCATTTTCATGAAACAGACCACACGATCCCCACAGTGATAGCTTCCAGGGTATGAAGCTACTTCAACCCCCACTCCATAACCCAAGCACAACACAGCAGCCCCCATGTCAAATGTTGCCTTACAAGCCACAAGCCAACTGTCTGTCCTTTGAGACCCCACCAATGCCCTCGTACATCTCTCCAGGGACCCACCACACCGAGAGCCTAGCAGTCTTCACCCCAGCCTCCATCTAGCAAGGAGTAAAAGAAACTAAGGGCCACCTGACTTAACACCTGGGGAGTCAGACCCAAGAATCAGAACCCTCTAAAACACATTTAAATTGTTTCCAACTTCCCTATCATATAGGTAATGCTGCTATTCGTAACTTTGTGCACAAAGGTTTGGGTTTTGGTTTGTTTGTTTTTTTTTTTTTTTTTTTCATTTTTACCATTCTTCAGCTCCTAGGAAAATTACTAAAGAATATGCATTCTTTTAAGGCTCTTGTTACTTCTGGCAAGAGAGACTTCTGGTGACAAATATAGATTTCACTTGTCACCAATATATTATTTTATTAGGTGCACCCCAGCTAGAATTAAGTATTTTAGGGTGCCTGGGTGGCTCAGTGGGTTAAGCCTCTGCCTTCAGCTCAGGTCATGATCCCAGGGTCCTGGGATCAAGTCCTGTATCAGGCTCTCTGCTCAGCAGGGAGCCTGCTTCCCCCCCCACCCCATCTTTCTCTCTGCCTACTTATGATCTCTCTCTCTGCCAAATAAATAAATAAAATCTTTAAAAAAAAAAAGAATTAAGTATTCTAAATTTTTACGTCTTTGCTAATATCATGGGCAAAATAATGAAATCTCTGCCTTAAAAGATTTAGTAATTAAAGATGGAAATGGTTTGCTAAGTGTATTTTTTCCCCAGTTCTCTAATCCTGCTTAAGGATATTTCCTGTCAGATAACCGTAAGAGTTAACCCAACCAGGAGGATAGTAAGAGTAGGCATTAGTAAGCATTATTTTAATGTTTAACAAATGTCATTTTAAAATATTATCCAGGGGGTGCCTGGGTGGCTCAGTTGGTTAAGCATCTGCCTCTTGATCTCAATCTCACGGTTGTGACTTCAAGCCCTACATTGGGCTCCACACTGGGCGTGAAGCCTACTTAAAAAATAATAAAATAAAATATTATTCAAATAGAAAAGCAGATAATGTGATAAGAATGAGAAGAAACAGACCATCATTTTATTGAGATCACAATTATAAACTCTATTTGTACTTTTAGAACTGGGATTCGCTGAAAACAAACATATGGCATATGTGTATGTGTATCTTTAATGGGAAGCTTGGGCTTAGCTTTCATCAAAAACCCAAAAAGATCTTAAAACAACATCATAAGGGTGAACAAAACAAAAAACAAAAAACAGTGCTGAGTCCACACACCCTATGATGAATTACAAAAAGTCTAAAAGATGCTTAAAATTCAGCAGAACAAAAAGGGAAGTGCCACCCTCATACCTTCATCTCTTCCTGGCATGCTGAAGTGTGTGCATTTGTTTCTGGCACTTGGCTGGAAAGAAAAAGTAGGGTTTCTGTCCTTGAGAACAGTTTTTGAGGTGAGATGAACAAAGGGTATTAAAAGGAATCACAGCAGCCTGAGGTTTATTGTAGTCCAATGAGCTTTTTTACTGAGGACCTACTCTGAACCCAGTACCGTAACAGATGCAATGATTTGAAGCAATGAATTCCAGAGGTCATCAGTAACAGGCCTCCAGTACCTACTGGGGTGGCTTCTACTGCCGCTGTCCAACATTTGTAGGATGCTCCTTCTCCATTCTGTTCTCCACCTCTGCACTACCCCTCCTTCCCTAAAATTCCCTAAAAATCCCTCCCCCTCCCTACCTAATTCTGTCTTTAGACACAGCATGGCCACATCCAATTGTCTAGGCTGTGCACTGCATAGTTCTAAGTGTTGTCATTCACCCTATAGTCTAAATTAAAACAGTAAGTGTCCAAAGAGTTCTCGCCAAACACTCTGCAATTCACTTTGGAGCCCTCTTAATACTACTCTTAATCCTGACACAGCGCCCCGCCCCCATTACTACTCTTATTCTGACAACTGGGCTTATGGCAAGTTACCCAAACCAGGCTGCACTACATTTTTCATCTGGAATAACTAAATCCTCCAACCTAATACCCCGACCTTCTATGACTGGGAAATGGGGAAATGGGGAACCCTGCATGCCTTGTATCCAAGGAATGAAATCTCACCTTGAACCCTTGTCCAGGACTGAGAACCATCTACGGGCTGATGAGTCTGCTGACCTCCCAAGCTTAGATACCTGATTACTGCCAGATTCTGGTTCATGGTCACCCTGATCCACAGGGTGGATAACAGCCAGTCCCCTCAAGCTGTTCTCTCCTGGTCACCAATGGCCACACCCTCTCCATCTTGGGCTCTGCACTGAGCTTTTATTTTTTATATACTTTTTTTCCTAATTAAATTCCATTAATTAACATATAAAGTATTATTGGTTTCTGAGGTACAGGTCAGTGATTCACCAGTCTTATAGAAAACCCAGTACTCATTGAATCACGTGTCCCCCTGAATGTCCACCACCAGTTACCCCATCCCCCCATCTACCTCCCCTCCAGCAACCCTCAGTCTGTTTCCTATAATTAAGAGTCTCTCTTATGGTTTGTCTCCGTCTTCATATTTCGTACCAAGCTCCTTTTAAACAATGCAAGTGAGTAGGTCCTTCCTAATCAGTTCCACAGTTCACCAGATTTATGATCTCGAACAATTTACCTTCAGACACTCCGTCTCCTCATCTGTAAAATGGAGATGGCCTCAGAGATTGCTGAGAAATTAAGTGATATGTTGCCTGTAAACTCCTTAGCACTGTGACTGTCACAACTGAGTGTCCAACAAATGGTAGCATCCCAGGGTTCAAATTATACGTTAAGTGTGACATAGAAGGCATATGTGACAGACGGTAAATGACCAACACATCAGCAGTTGAAAGCCGGCCCCATTCTGTCACCCAAGCCTCTGTGCCCTGCCCAGGAGTCTGTTTGCTCTGCCTCAGCTTCCCTGCCCTCTGGTCTAGCTTCCCCAGACACCGAGCATACGTGGTTCTTTCCGGCAGATCTACCCAACATACACTACGAAGCGGGTCAGAACGCCACTGAGGCATGGTGGCAAAAGCCGCTGGCACCAAACTGGAGGAGTGGTCATATGCTTTTACCTTTTGCATGAAAAACAATTTTTACTTGGAACAAATGACTGACAAACAACCAAACTTACTCAGACTTGGGCATATGGTGGACCCTATCTCAAAAACGAATGAAAGGAATGTTTAATCAAGCAAAATCATGAAAGTATTTTTTTTTTTTTTGCAAATGATGAATTTTGAGTTTTCAAACAAAATTAGAATTCCAAAATCTGGTATCGTCCTCCATAAGCTTGACAGCTTTCTGTACTTAACGACTTTGTTGATGATGAGCCTTGTGGTGATGTTAACAAATGTGATTTTTTGATATTACATCATAAAACGTGTCAACATTTGGAAGATCTGCATACCTCAGTGGGACCACTATTTTCCCAATGACTGGTGCACACAGTTACAAAATCATGCATTGGTAAAAAGGATCTATTCAAAGTGTAACATTGACCAGTGCAGTTTTGTATAAGAGTATGAAAGTTTATGGGTATTGAGATTGGCTCCCAATCCACATTGCACCTAAACATTAAGAAAATACCATTTGTCAAGTTTTGATATAGAATCAGAAAAAATATCCACAATTATCTGAAAAAGCTATTAAAATAATTCCTTTTTTCCAAATACATATCTGTGCGAGGCCAGATTTTCTTCATACTCTTCAACCAAAACAACATATGGCCACAGATAGAATGCAGGAGCAGATATGAGAATCCTGCTGTCCTCTATTAAGCCAGACATTAAAGAGATTTGCAAAAATGTAAGAAAAAAAATGTTACTCTAGTTGCTTCTTGTTTTAGAAATATACCTGTCTTTCATAGAATATTACTTGTGTCAACATAAATGAGTTTGTATTTGCTATCTGACAATAAATTATACATATTCTTAATGATTTTTACTGTATATTCTTCTCCATTTTCTGTTCTCTTTTGAGTTAGGGGCTATAAACAGAGTTGTCCATTCGCTCATTTGTCTACTTCTGGGTGATGCTAGTGTTCTTTTATCCCAGAAATGTGGGAGAAGGCAAAGGAGGGTAGAAGTGATGGGAAGCTTCTGGTAAATGTGCACATGCTTTGTTCAAAAGTGTTTTGAACATTGTTTTTGATTGGAGTTCATGTTTCCCAAATCATTCTCTCTCATGCAATGCTCTTTCTCAGCATAATCTTTCCCCTGACAAATACTGATTTCGTACCACCCATTTGTCAGGCACCGTCCCTCTGAGGACCTTTATAACATGTCAACTCAAATGTCCCACAGACACTGTCAACTCATCACCCCCAACATAAGGGCTGCCTTTCCACTCCCCAGTCCCTCCTCCCACGCTCTGGTCTGAGTGACGACTGCCATTAGGCATGCCGAGGCCCAAGCCAAACACCCTGCAGTGTCCTTAACTCCCCTGGTTCCCCTCACCCCACGTCCAACCCACGACCAAGTCTCAGAAAACATTCTTCAATAGCTTTTAAACTGTCCACTTTTCCCCACATGCTCGTTCAAGCTTCCTTCATCCCTGACCCAAATTACAATGACAGCGATGGCTCTTCCTACCTCCTGTCACCTGTGTCTATACCGCACTGGGCCTGGAAACTCCAACTAGCACACCAGTAACGCAGACGGTTGAGGGATATCACCTCCACTCCAGAGATGAGGAAAACAAGGCTCGAAAGTCAGATCATTTGCCCAGGTGGTATTTTTAAAAGGCAGAGCTGATTGGGCCCCTCTCCTGGTTCTATCTCAAGCGCCCTAACTTTCAGGACAAAGTACAAGCTCTTTAACAGGGCCTGTAAGGCAAGAGCCCTCTGTATGGGCATGCCAGCCTTCCATGCGCTCTGTGCTCCTTTCATCTCCAGGCTCTTTCACACATGCTCTCCCCTCTGCCTGGGCCAGTCTTCCCCCAACTGGTTTGGTTTAAATGTGTCTTCCTTCAAGAAACCTCCCCTGACTCCCTGAGACAGAGAAAGCGCCCTTCTTATGAGTTCCCATGACAACCACTGCTCACTGTAATGGTAGCACTAACCACGCAGGTGTTTTTGGTTTTTGCTTTTTTGTTTTTTATTCCCTCAGCTCCTTTGGTGAGGTTGTTCCATACTCACAATGCATTCAGGTTTCTTTTGTCATCATCAGCATGCTGTGCTGGAATTATCTGACCTCTGAAGTGATTTTTTAAATTCACATATATTAACGTTTTCTACTCTTTACTCTTACCTGTGCTATAAAATTCTGTTTCAGGCATCCACCACTAAAGTATCATACAGAATAGTTTTGCTGCCCTAAAGATCCCCCAGCATTCATCCACCCAGCACTCCCTCCCCCACCCCATCACACTGTTTTAATCGCCTGTCTGCTTGACCATCTCTCTCCCTCTGGTTCAGGATCTGTTCTGTTTAACAGTGTCCACAGTGTGGGGTTAAAATGTCTGGCATTCTAAGGATACTCTGAGTATCCCTGTTAAATCCAAGAACTGGAAACGCTTCGGAACCTACAGCCTAAACTTCGTCCCCGAATGACAATGGAACCAGCTCTAACAACCCCAGCAATGCTATTCACAGCTCCCTTATGCTCTCTCTTCCCCAGCGGAGTCCATGGCTAGTTAAGGCTAACAGCATGTCTGCTCAGCGGGTGGAGGGAGGCGGGGGCAGGATCAGCTCAGAGGGGTCAGGATTATGGAGCGGCTGCCCAAGAAAGGGAGGAGGGGGCCCCGTGGAAGGGATGGTACTTAACGGGGACTGACATTTGGAACAAAGAAAGAGCACTGGGAACCCTGAAAAGCCTTGGCTGCGCAGCCCCACATCTAAACCAAAGCCCTTCATGGCAGTCTGTACCCTGGAAATGAGATATTATCACGACGCTGTATGGAACAAGGCATGTTCGAGGATTGCTAAGCAGGCTCGCGGATGGACTTGGCGTGGAGAGTCTAGGCCCTGCTTGGGGATCTGTGTTTCTCGCTCCTGTGATTTGAGAAAGAGCTGGGTGAGCTCCAAAGCCGTGGGAGGAGGGAGAAGCTCCGGAGAGCTGAACTGTCAGAGCCCAACAATGACTTTCTCTGTGCAGCTGGGCTTTGCACCTGGTGCCTGCACAGAGCCCTCTGTGCTTTTGTCCTTCCGCACATAGAGCTGTCCACACAGGCGGGGCTTATAAATACTGTCCAAAGGAGAAGTGAAACCACTGGCTAGTTCTCCTTTTCTCTGCTTAGTTGGCGCCCAGCAGCTGAGAGCAGCTGGTACGAACTCGCATTCCCCAGTTCGGAGGCTCAACCTGCTCTATTTTATGGTTGGGAAGCTTCTGGCAAACATCCTGTTTAGAATAAAATGGGACTCAGACTGACAATCGGGGGCTAAATTTACCACCTAGAAACTTCAAACAAAATAAAAGAGAAAGCAGAGGAAAGGGCAAGACCTATCAGTACATCATTCACAGAGTCAGAACACCAAAGTCTTCTCAGAGTAGGCTTTTTACCTGTATGTAGAAGGTCCTGGAGCTTGTTATGATTTCAAACAGGTTGTCCCTCATTAAGAGATCACTAGACAAAGAGAAAGAAAGTTACCAGGCATGCCCTCATGCCCGCACACACATCGAGGACTTGATTCATCCTAAGTCAAAGCTCTGTATAAAGGGGGCTCCCAGGTCATTCCTCCTCCAGTCTCTGCCTCAAAAACCACAAGGGGGTCTCCTCTAGCTTCACTTTCTACGGGCTCTCAGGCTTCATCATCCCCATGGAAACCCCACACATACACCCCACCACCAGTTCTAATAAGATAAACTCCTTTCCCTCTAAAACCGCCTGCCTAATATCCACCACATCCCATAACACCTACAGTTGTGAGGAGAGGGGTATTTTTTAAATAATTTTTTAAGGATTTACTTATTTATTTGAGAGGGAGAGAGAGCACACAGAGGAGGAGTAGAGTGAGACAGAATTTCAGGCAAATTGCACCACGAACTGGGAGCCCTACTCAGGCTCCATGTGGGGCTCCACACAGGGCTTGATCTCATGACCCTGAGAGCCTGACCCCAGCCAAAACCAAGACTCGGACACCTAACCAATGAGGCTACCAGACACCCCAGTGGGGTTTTATTTAGTGGCTAAGAAGTACAGTTCTTTTGTGCAAAGTGGTTTTAAGTGGTTTTTTTCAGGGTCAAGCAGATGAACATTGTATTGGTCTTACAAATATGTAAATATAACTAATTGATTATATATCACTGTAAGATACTATTTATATCAAAATATAGGGAGAGATATTTGACGTGTAACATTTTTAGTTTTAGGTATGTAGCATAATGATCCAGTATTTGTATAGATTGTGAACTGATCACAAGAGGGCTAGCTGACATCCATAACCACACATAGTTACAAGTTCTTTTTATCTTGTGATGAGAAGTTTTAAGGTCTACTCTCTCAGCAACTTTCAGATGCACAATACAGTATTATTAATTATAGTTATACTGTTCATTACATCCCTAGGACTTATCTATTTTATAAATGGGAGTTTGTACCTTTTGAACCCTCTTCACCCATTTTGCCCATCCCCTACCCCCGCAACCACCAATCTGTCCTTCGAGTGCTTTCCTGTGTGTTATTTCATCCAATCCTGACAACAGTCCAATAAAGAACTTAAGATTTTCCCTACCTTGTGGATGAGGAAACCCAGGCTCAGAGAAGTTATGTGACTTGGGGCCAAAGTTAGCAAACAGCAGAGCAAGGATTTGAACCCAGGTCTGACTCCAGAGTCTATGCTTTTAATTATTCCACTACCACTTGCTTCTACTAAGGGAACCAACTCATTTCTAAAACCTTCCTCCCCACAAGCAGCCACTTTATCAGCTTCATGAAATTCCTGCCCTGTGGGGTGCTGGGTGGCTCAGCTGGTTAAGCATCTGACTTCGGCTCAGATCATGATCCTGGGATCCTGGGATTGAGCCCCATGTCAGGGTCCCCACTCACTAGGGAGTCTGCTTGTCTCTCTCCCTCTGCCCCTCCCCCTACTCATGCGCACGTGCAAGCACGTGCTCTCTCCCTCAACTAAATAAAATCTTAAAAAAAAGAGAAACTCCCCCTCTGTTCCACCCTGTACTGGGCTGAGACAGGGAGCTAATGAGAAATGGAAGGACAGATTAGACTACTGTAAGATGCTTCAAACTGGGTATGAATTTGGGGAGAAGAATCAATCCTGACTTCTGCAAGGAAGAAGGTGAGAAGTAGCTGGTGCTCAGTGACAAACCTGAAATCAGCCAAAATTATTTGCAGCGTTAAGTGTCTGCTGTGCGTATCCTGGTGCTGTGGGCAATACATAAGGAGCGAAAGGTCTAATTCCTTCCCAATAAAAGAACCAAAAAAAGCAAAACTATACAATTAGATGTTGGACTATGTGTTGGACGCCAAGAGTGAGAATAATTCCAAAAAAGGACTGGTCACAGGCAGAGTTGGCTTCGGAAATGAAGACTTGGAAGGCCGTGGCAGGCACTGGGCCCATGACATGGGCACCGGCAGAGGGGGAGCCTGAGACGAAAGACCCATGTGGGAAGGAACAGCAAGACGGGGGTCAAGAGGACGTGGGGCCAAATCTCACCTCCTCATAGAGAAAGATATTTTAGGAATATTTTAAAATCGTTGTGAGCCTCCGTACCCCAACTGTAAAATGTAGAGGAGACCTCCCTCATCCGGCTGGTCACCCCAGAGATCAATGTATAAAGTGTATCAGGCATCTGCTACCAATTACAGCATATGGTTGCCTCTTGAGGCACATTTCACTGGCCGTCATTACTTTCTGAGCAGAGACGGCTCCTCTTCTGGCTAAAATGTGTTAGCTTTTTAAATTATTCACATGCATACAGCACACTCATGTCATCGACTACTGAGGAGGTGAAAGCAAGGCAGGGAGGAAATCCCTGCCCTTGTCACATCTACTTCCAAGGCCACGTGTTGCCTTCTAACTCAGTTCCGTTCAGTTCGGTTTAACTCAATTTAACAAACGTTGGTTGACTACACAGATGCCCTAAAGCTTCCTGACTGGGTCTGAAGAGGCCGCATAGTCTCAGAGGCCTGGAACCCGCACAGCCTTGCAGACTTCCTTCTCGGCTCCCTTAATTCCTTCACTAAGAACTTGGTTTGACTCCGGCAGCAAAGGACTCCGGCAGGTGCAGAGCGTGCTTGGGACTGAACATGTTCTGGGCTCGCTAAGCTGCCCACCATACCCAGGTAGTCATACAGCTACCTGTCCACACGGGCCCTCTGGAGCCAGGGGAGGCAGGAACCATCTCTGGGGATGAGTCATGGCCAATCTCCCCTCCGCCCCCCAGCAAGCTCTGGAACCACACCTCTGAACTTCCACCTATGGCCAATGGCACAGATGACAACTTGCCACTGGGAACTTTCCTAATCTCTACTCTCCAACTGTCATCTGCAAGAGTCAGTGCAGTCCCGATTCAGTCTCTGCTTCCTTGGGTCGTGTGGCACTTGTCAGCATGCAAGACCGTCCCGTGCATCCCCATGAGAACAGTGTGTCTGCTGCCAGTCGCCTCCCTGATGATGCTGGCTTTGCATCGCACCATCCGCGGGATGGAAAGACACAAACTGTCTCTGAGGACTGCAGACTGGGACGCCTGGGGGGCTCAGTCACTTAAGCATCTGCCTTCGGCTCAGTTCATGATCCCAGGGTCCCAGGATCAAATCCCGCATCAGGATCCTTGCTCAGCGGGGAGCCTGCTTCTCCCTCTGCCTGCTGCTCCCCCTGCTTGTGCGATCTCTCTCTCTCTCTCTCTCTCTGACAAATAAATAAATAAAATCTTTTAAAAAAGAAAAAAAAAAAAAAAGGCTGCAGATTAAGGGACCGAAGGAGGATTTCTAGATGCCCAGATATCCTTGGGTTTCTAAAGTTTAGTCCTAAGGGCATCTGTATCTGTACTGCTTATGGGAAGGCCCTTGAGTCGGAGCCCCAGATCCCAAACTCATCCCATGCATTATGGTACGTGGACGGTAAATCATTTCCTACTGGAAGCGCAAATGTCCAAAGGGAGTCACACAGAGTTGTTGTGAATTACCCCTGTGTTAAAGGGACATGAGAGACTTTGTCCACAGGAGGAGAAGGCATAAGAAGGTCAGGGAAGAGGCACAGGCAAAACAGGTACTGGCCAGAAGTGCTGGTACGTGAGAAACCTGAGGGCACAGTCCCCACTTGGAGCCCTTGGCCTCCTAGGCAATGAGAATCTAATTCTAACACTCGAGAAGCATCCCAACACCACTCTCTTCTTTGTTCCTATATTCTTTCTTTTTCTCCACCAGCGAATTATTATATAGGCTCTGCCCCTCTCCTCAGGGGCCAGAGTAAGGTAGTGGGAAAAGATGAGCTGGCCCGGTGTGGTCTCTTAGCTGCATCGGTTTGGATGCAGTGAGATGTCAGCCCCCGTCATGTGCAAGGAAGAAGGTTCTTGAATAGAGCCTCAGAAAGGTAGTAAATGGAGATTTAAGTAGGCAAATGGGGGATTTTGATCAGAAGAGAATCAGCACAGATGATTACCCAGATTTGACCAGACACTCATGGGTCTTGAGAACGTCCTTGAGAAATATAGTGCGCAGTGGTTCTCGGTCCTGGTAGGAAAAACAGGTAAAGAAAGATAAATGAGGCTACCCACGTAATGCCACAACCCAGACCAGCTGACCAAAGTACCTCTCTGGTCAGAGATGGTTGGCTAATACCAGGCTGCGAACAAGGCATGGTCTAAAAATAACTGTCAAGTGAGGAAAAATTCTAAGAAGATGCTATGTGGCTCTGACCACAGAGGAGCTTGCTGCAGAGCAGGAGGGAAGAAGTTGGGCCATGTTGCTGTATCGATGTAAAGAGGTGCACACGGGGTAGATGGAGGGGACACGGAGGCACCTCTTAAGCCTGTGTGTGTGTGTGTCCACATCTCTACTCACGCACACACACCTGGGTGTTATTCACAAGCCTCTTGCTTCCATGACCTGTCAGAAGGGCCCCAGAGCGATTACAAACCTGCTCACACTTGAAGTAGGAGATAGTAAAGTCATCGAGTACAAAGAAGCGACGTTTCCAGCTCTTCCGCTGAAATAAAAAAAGCAGGACATTAAGAAGAGGCCCCAGCATTCTGGAAAATGTTCCAGTTCTATATTTCAGGGTACCCAGCCAGAAGGAAGCTGGGCGCCCACATTCAGACTGCAGGGTGGGGGGCCACAAAGACTTCTTCCTATCAGGGGCGATGCCTCCAACTTGCAGGGTGAATGTTTAGTCCCACACCTCTCACCAGTTCGGGAGGTCGTTGAGGGGTAGCTAGAGCCAAGGAAGGCGGTTCCTCCTGCCAGCCAGCTCTCCCCGGGATACACCCACAGCCACTGCCCCCAGGAGCCACCAGGACCCACTAGAGCCCCCGTGCCAACACTCACCACATTCCCTTGCTTCACACAGTAGCCACTCTTAATGAGGGGGGGGCCAGAGGGAACACGGCTGCCTGTCGTGGGGATGTAACTCTGAGACCTCCGAAGGATGGCGTGGGACCCGGGCTCGCTCCCCTCCTGCCCATCCCCACCGTTCTACAAGGAAACAGCAGCAGGATTAGCTCGTGCCTCAGCCAGCCCTCTCTGGCGAATCCTCTCCTGCCTCTTTCTTTACCCACAATGGCAATTAAAAAAGAAATAAACAAGAAAGTAAACATTCACGGGCTCCTGTTAGACACTGTACTGGGAAATGTCACAGGACAAGGCTCGGGGAAGCTGGGCAGAACCAGGAGAAACATAAGGACAGAGAATACAAGCCAGAAGAAGGAAGAAACCCCCTAATGGGAAGAGGGACAGTGGGCTTGTTTCCAGGCTCACCTGTCTTCTCCAGCTCCATTTCCCATGTGATTTACAAGTGCCAGTCACAGGACCACACAGCCTCAAGATACGGTGGCCCTGATTTCTGCACTGCTATTCTTCATACTCACCCCTGTCCTGGATTTTCCTGACTACCCCAATGGCACTGGCTCCCCACCCCCAACTACCTATCCTCTGTGCTGGCCTCCTCTATGCACGTCAGTGGTCCACTGTGGTCGTTCCCATACCCCCACCGGCGCCGGCAGCCCCAGGCCCCAGCACCTGGTTGATGGGTGTGTGTACCACCACCCCTCCGATGATCTCTGTCTTGTAGGCCACCTGCGGCTTCTTCTCTAGGGCTGGAGGAGCTGGTAGGCTTTTTATAACTTCTGTAGTCAGGGGCAGGCTCCCAACTTTGGGTACCTGAAAAGAAAGAAAGCTTAGGGAAAATGGGGTCGGGGGGGAGACATGGGGAAAGGGACAAATTCTAGTAAGACCTCCTCTCTTCCCCAGCCCTTCCATTGACCCATACCTGAATATGAGGAACTCTGCCAAGCAGATGCCTCGATACACACATACACACACACATCGGGCCTGAACATCCACTATGAGCCAGCCCTTCCCTGACTGCAGACCAAAGACAGAACAGCAAACAGACATGTCCTGCCCTCACGGCACGGACATTCTAATAGCAGAGACTGACAAAAAAGGGAGAGCCAAACAAAGAAAATAATAACAAACTGCAAGCAGTGCCATAAAGAAAAGAAACAGGAGCTGAGACAGACAGAGGGGAACTACTTGAAATGGAGTGGTTGGCGGCGGTCTCCAGGGGAGGAGGTGCTGGAACAGTAACCTGCAGAGGAACAGGAACCAGGGACGTAAGGAGGAGAGCACATAGTAGGCCGGGAACAGGTGATACATGTGGGCTCTGGTACAGAATTCAGGGAGCATGAACTTCAGAGCCCAAGGTACTGACTCCTCACCTGTCACTAACTCACTCAGTGACCTTCAGCAAATCACTGAACCTTTCTCTAGGCCAAAACTGTCCCGTGTAGAAAATGAAAAGGGTAATAATATGTATGTCATAGAGTCACCGTGCTTACCAAATGACAAAGTACATATACTTAAAAACTTCAGAAATACAAAAATATAAAAGTACAGTTGACTCTTGAACAATGCAGGGGGTAAGGGTACTGACCCCTGCACAGCCAGAACTCCGTGTATAACTTTCAACTCCCCCCGAATTTAACTACTAATAGTCTACTATCGACCAGAAGCCTTACCAATAACATACATCGTAAATTAACACATATTTTGTATGTTCTATGTATCATGTGCTGTATTCTTATGATAAAGTAAGCTAGAGAAAAGAAAATGTTATTAAGAAAATCATAAGGAAGAGAAATACACTTCCAGTCATGTAAAAAATCTTCATGTAAGTAAATCCATGCCGTTCACACCCATGTGGTTCAAGGGTGGAAAGTACTATAAAACATTTTAATTAACATTTCACAAATGGTATTAACATTTACAAACACAGCCCTTTGTGAAGAGTTATCTTTGTTCTTCTCTTTGGCAGAATTAGGGCACCACGGATAGTCACAGAATCACAGAATTTTTAATGGCTCCTTTGACGCCACAGGCCACAGACTGCAAATGGTGGCATGAAGAAAGATTCTGGCCAAACTGTGTTTTGTTTTGCTTGTTATTTAATTTTTTTTTTCAGTGTTCCAAGATTCATTGTTTATGCACCACACCCCACACTGTGTTTTGTTGGTCTGATGCAGTGTGTTTCTCAATCTACATTTAAAGCTTGGGGTAGCTCACCTAAAAATCCAGACTTCTAGCCAAGCAGCATTTCTGTCTTTAGAGGGAGAACATTCTCCAGTTTGCCCCTGTCCCTACCCTGCTCCCCACCACTGAGGCCGTGAGTCAGGTGCTCTTTATCCCCATTTATGTTGCTTTCCTTCCTCCTTGCTCACCTCTCTTCTTTACACTGGCAATTCCGATGAAATCTTTCCATTTTGTCAAGAAAACAGGAGAGGCCCAGGCCATTCAAGTCAATGGCCCAAAGCCATGGTTAATAACTGCACGGAGCCCAGACCCTAAGTGCCCACTGGGGCGATGCTCACAGCCTCACGAAGCCTGTCCTTCACACAGACTCAGCACCTGTGTGTGTCAGCATGCTCCCTGAGTAACACTCACATCTTCACTCCTTCTACAGCCTCGAGAATCAGAAGGAACTAAGAATCTAGACCTTTCAAGAGCTCATGGTTCTGGGCCCTTGGAGAATTCTGTCAAAGACGAGACCGAGGACCACTCCATTCCATGTCTGCTCAAAGGAAACAGAGCTCCAGAAGGACACTGGAGCCCCAGAAAGAAGATGAGACCCTTCTTCCTGGCCTGTGCATTCCATTTACATAGACAATGGTGACCTCGGCCCACCTGCTCTCCAGATGCAGCCAGAAATCCACCTTCTCTTTCCCTTCAGGCTGTCCACACAGCAGTTCCCACTTCTATGGGCCCCATTCAGCACCAGGCAAGGTGCCACACTCTGCAGCATGATCTGTATTTCAAGCAATCTTATGAAGGAGGCATTATCTCCTCCATTATATAGATGACATAAATGAAAGCTCATTAAAAAGAAGTAAGTTGCTGCTAGGACTGTCGGACTCTCCGTCGCTAAATGTCCCACTACCCACCTATGCTACCACCATTTCTTTCCCTGAGCTTCGCTATTGTGAGATGGGACCCCTTTGAGGATGTTGATAATTGCTGGGATGTTTAGTGATATCATCATCATGGAACAACAGAAACTCCCCACAAAGGACCTAAATGAATTCCAGCAAAGAAGAAGGAGGGAAGTAGCCATTTAGAGGTCCCAGTGGTCAGAAAAGGAATCATGTTAGCTTAGCTGTTGTGTGGCCTCTCAGACTCTCTTCAGCCCCTGTATCATGGGGCTGGTTCTGACTGCCCAGAGCCTTTCCAACGCTTCTGGAGACTAAATCAGTCTGTGGAGGACTAACTCAACAATAACTATGCCCCAGAACCTGAAAACAAGGTCTTTCTTTTGGTTTGGCCATATTCCCAGAGGCCTAAATTCAAGGTATGCCCTCTTCCATCCACCTGTGGGGTATTCTCTGATGGGGGAGAGCCTTATGGATCTCATTTGCAATGTGAAATGACAATTACAGGGACATGGGGTGCCTGGCTGGTTCAGCTGGCCGAGCATGTGATTCTTGATTGTGGGGTTGTAAGTTCAAGCCCCATGTTGGGTGTAGAGATTACTTTTCAAAAAATCTTAAAAAAAAGAAAGAAAGAAAGAAAGAAAGAAAGAAAGAAAGAAAGAAAGAAAGAAAGAAAAAAAGAAAGAAAATTAAATTACAGGGACTCATCTTACTTCCCTCCAGGCATGGCTAGACTGCGATGAGGAATAATCCAATGGGGGCAAGGGACTGTGGTTTACTTTTACTGCTTTTCATTTTCAAAACATTTCAACTGTTTGGGGAAATGTAGTTAGTGGAATAATGCCCCACTAAAACTCATACAGGAATACTAATACTCTGAGAGAATCCAATTCCTTAATTCCTTAAATACCACATGTCAATCATTTCTTCAATGACAAGGACCCAGCAGCCTTAGCACAAAATGGACAGTAGGCAGAAAAACTGGATCCATCCTGGCTCCTTGACCTTGGACAAGTCACTTTAATCACTAGGCATTTCCACTACCCTGTTTATAAATGGGTATAATAACACTTGCCCTTCCTACCTAAGGATTTTATATGAAGCTACAATGAAGCCAAGCATGTAAAAGCGGTGTGTGATCCAACACACATTACAATGGCTGCTCTTTTCAAATATTTTCAAATATTTTTCAAATATTTTCATAAACTCTTCTAGGTCTTGAAAGTCATAGGGTCCTGGGTTTGAACGTCAGCTCTACCATTTATTCACCTCCAGACTTTGGGCAGCCCTGATTTCCATTATTCTCATCTAAAAAAAAAAAAAAGGCAGTGAAACCACTTATCTCACAGGAGTGATGTCAGAGGGGTGAAAATTACAGCACATGTGAAAGCTTGATTCAATACATTATCTGTTCTTTCTTTCATCTCTGTATCCCCCAAAGTGCCTGATACTTCACGTGTATATACGGTGCCTTAAAGTGAGTGTGCATGCCATCGATGTGGTGTCCAGCCCCACATCCTCCCTCTTTCTGGCCTCCCTGAGGAAGGACTCAAGATACAGGATGATATGGCAGTGGAGAAAGGAGTAAACCTTTCCAGGGCACAAACAGATGAGGAGAGAGAGTGCCCCTCCTCTGCCTTCTATCCCATGGGACCTCTGGCAGGAGTGAAGAGATGTATGAACCAAGCCAAGGAAAGGAAGGGGGATCGTGGAGACAATGGAGACCCTGCAGGAGGCTCTGACATTCCAGCAAGCCTCTGGATCCCCCAGCCTCTGGGCACCACCACATTCCTTCCCACTCCTGTGGCTTATAACTTCCATTCCACAGGGCCAGAAAAGAGGCAGGGGGAACTCGCTGCTTAGAGCAACCCTATGAGGGCTAAAAGGCCCCCACAACCTCACAGGCTGGGTAGCCCAGTGAACCAGACATGGACGGAAGAGGAAAGCTAAGAGGCAAGGCTGAAAGAGAATAAAGTATCAGACATTGAAAGAAACTCCAAAACTGTATTAGACACAGAAGGGTGAAGACCCCACCATGGAAGAAGGAATTCTGTACTAAGCTCAGCATTGCAGAGCCATGTGCACAAGCAAAGGCATGTGAGTTAGCTGTAACACCCCACTCTCCCCTCAGTTCTCCCTCTTTTCCTGGGTTTCCCAAGGCTTGTCAAAATAACAAGACCACCTCAATAACTCAATTGTTCTCTGCTTGGGTCTGGCATCATAAGAGTTGGATCGGTGTACCAATTTCTTCTATTAATTTATTCACAGAAACCCTGAGGTATTTAGGAGAACAATCTGCCCCAGTACATAATGGTTACTATCAGGAATGACTAGAACATAAGCATTTCTGACTGTATGATACAGAAAATCAATCTTCCAATTACAGAATGGGCAGAAGACACAAACAGACATTTCTCCAAAGATGGCCAAGAGACACAGGAAAGATGCTCATCACTGATCATCAGGGACATGCAGATCAAAACTACAATGGCTGTCGCCCCAAACCTGTCAGAATGGCTAAAATCCATGACACAAGAATCAGCAAGTGTTGGCGAGGATACAGAGAAAGGGGAACCCTCTTGCACTGTTAGTGAGAATGCAAAGGGTGCAGCCACTCTGGAAAACAAGTTCCTCAAAAAGTTAAAAATACAGTTACCCGACAATACAGCAATCGAACTACTGAGTATCTACCCAAAGAAACAAGAACACTAATTCAAAGGGATACATACACCCCTATGTTTATAGCTGCATTATTTACAATAGCCAAGGTATGGAAATAGTCCAAGTGTCTCTTGACTGATGAATGGATAAAGAAGTGATATAGATATAGATATATAATATATATATATATGTATATATGTAAATATGTATGAATATGTACATATATGTATATGTGTATAACACACACATAATGTAATATTATTCAGCCATAGGAAAGAATAAAATCTTGGGGCACCTGGGTGCTCGGTTGGTTAGGCATCTGTCTTCGGCTCAGGTCATGATCTCCAGGTCCTAGGATCGAGCCCCATGTTGGGCTCCCTGCTCACCAGGGCATCTGCTTCTCCCTCTCCCTCTGTCTCTCCCCCCGCCCCCTACTTTTGTTCTCTCTCTCTCAAATAAATAAAAATCTTTAAAAAATAAAAATAATAGAATTTTTTAAAAAGAATGAAATCTTGCCATTTGGGATGACATGGATGGAGCTACAGAGTATTATGCTAAGGGAAATAAGCCAAAGAAAGACAAATACCATATGATTTCACTCATATGTGGCATTTAAGAAACAAAACAAAGAAGGAAAGTGGGGGAAATGAGAGAGACAAATCAAGAAACAGACTCTTAACTATAACGAACAAACTGATGGCTACCAGAGGGGAGGCAGGTGGGGGCTGGGGAAACAGGATGAAGAGGAAGCAGTGCACTAGTCAGCATGAGCAGAGGGTAACATATGGCAGTGCTGAATCACTGTATTGTACACCTGAAACTAATCTAGCACTAACTGGAATTATACTAACTGGAATTAAAATAAAAACTTAGAATAAATAAATAAAAATAAATTTAAAAAGAGTATCAATCTTCTCAGCATACAAACCATGGCTTGTATGCCACAAGTCTGCCTACGGTCAATGGAAGGTCTAGTTTTTTTCCAAACATAAAGTCTTCCCTCTTCTCTCTTACCCTTTCCCTTTTCTGTATTTCTAAGGAAGAAGAAAGGAGTTCACCAGCCAAGTCAAAGAAGATGAGAATATTCACAGAACAGTCAGTGAACCAGCTCGGTGATACTTTCAAATGGAAGGCTTTTCCAGGACGGGTTGGTGGATGGACTGGACTGACCCCCAGGCAACCTTTTAAAGGAAGAAGAGGACCCCCCACCCCACTCCCAAGCCAGTAAAAAGTTCTGACTTCCCTCTTTATATGCTTTTCCCTTTCCTCTGCTTCTCGTAGTCAGCAATCCATTTTCCAATCCCACCACGTTCTGAATCAGCATGCCAGAATGACCTAAAACACAACTCACCAGGAGCCCTCCCAGGAAGCACAACGGGGACGCTCCATACACTTCCCCTTGAACTTGATTCAAACTCAAACTCTCAGTTCAACTTGTGGTTAGTCAGCCAAGGTGTAAGAAGAGGTAGGGGGAACCGGGTCTCAACAGGCTCCTGGGAAAGCCCCTGCTGTCGGCTGAGCATCTCCCCACCCCAAAGAGGCCACATGCTGAAAAGAGGCACTGAGTCCCTCCAGAAAGAAGGACTCATACATACGGTGATCTTGCTGGCTTGGTTCAGGGCTTCCACCCAGTCCTTCAGATCCTTCTGGTCATTAGCCTGAAGAAAATACCTCTGAGAGAGGGCATTGATGACTGCAATAGTCAGGGGGAAGAAGAGAGAAAAACCCAGGTCAGAACACATGCAGGACAAAAAGACGCCATCAAAACTCAGGGGCCAGAAGTAGCAAGGTGGAGGTCTGCACAGAGCGAAGGCATCCGCCGCGGTGCAAAGTCAGCAGCGTGCGTATCTGGGAAGCAGCGGGCTGCAGCCGCTCTCTCTCCAGAAGTGTGAATTGTTCCATTAGCCATGAGAACAACACCTGCTGTTCATGTTTTAACCACCCCCTTCATGTGCTGTTGTACAGGGATGAGGCTTCTAGTCCACCCTCAACAAGACACGAGCTTGAACTACTTTCTAGAGGCGCCAACAGGCCAGAGTCTCAATGGTACATGTATCATTTTGGACCCAGTGCTCCTTGTTTCCACTGGCACAACTGGCCTGACTTAGGAGTCTTGCCTGTGGTCAGGAAAAGAACAAAGCTTGCCTGAGATCAAATCTGTGACCCTGATCTCATTCTCAACCTGTTCTTTCCTCTGAACCCTCTATGAAGTCAATCATTTTACTTCTGCGTTCATTACTTATCTTGTTTAGATCTGCTGACCACAAAATCTGAGATAGTCATTTCTGAGCTTAGCGATGACACTTGAAAGAAATGGGACAACAAGAACACCAAAGAAGCCTGACCCAACCCGAAGTTGGGAGAGAAGACAGCTCAGTGACCACCTTATTCTCCTAGCATAAATTAGTCAGAACTACAGGAGGCGAGCATCGCCGGCTAGACAGAGAATTCATTAGTTCATTCACTCATCCGACAAATATTACTGAGCATCCACTATGGGCCAGGAACCGCTGTATGTGCTGGGGATACAGCAGTGACAAAACAAAGGGACAGCCCTGCTTCATGGAGCTGACATGCAGAACCATGCATATAAACAAGAGAAACTACTTGTTAGCATCTGTTTGTGGCACTTAGTATATTACCGAGAACACAGTAGGCGCCAAATAATGACTGATGATTTAATGAGTAGGGGCATCCACTGAGTGACTCTGCTTCCTGTGTCACTCCCAACTCTGGCACTCATGTGCCAGTGCCGAGACACTCAACAGGATACTCCTTTTCTATTGTTCCCCCAACTCCCCCACATCTCCACCTTTCCTGAGCGCACTGCTGCTGCGTCTGAGAGAAGGCTTCCCAGAAACGACCAGTAGATACCTGGACCCTGCCCTGCAGGGTCAGGAAAACCGAACCGTCACTGGTTCCTGTACCTCTGCCTTCCGTTTCTATCTTCCCCGCGAGACCAAGGAAAGCGGTATCGCTGGAGACGTAGGCACGTCGCCATGACTGAAGTCACTCACACACGCAGGGAGCAAGTCACATGTGATCACAGGACTGTCTCCACACGAAGAGGAAGTTGCCACAGGACTGTTTAGAAAACCCAGCCCCCAGTTCTGTACTTACCAAAGCAAAGTGGAGTTTTGGGTTTCTGCTTCGGTGTAGCTATGCTCACCTAAACCAAATAAAAAACAAAATAAGAATAGTTTTCTAAGATGGTTGTAAAGCATTTTTTTTCAATTTTGGGGGGGAGGGGCTGTAAAATTTTCCACACAAAAAAGAAGAGTATTTAAAACATATATAAACATTCTAAACAATAGTAATGAAGTGGAAACGCTGTACTCACCCTCCAGATTAAGAAATAGGCCATTACCAGTCCTATTCCTTAGATGACCTTTGTGTGCCCCTCCCTGAAAGAATCCCATCCCCACGCCTCAAGGGATAACCACTACCTGGCTGTCTACCTTCATCCTCTTTGCAAAAACACTTTGGAAAGCCACCCACTCCAACAAAATTCTCTTTGGACCACACAACCCGAATGTGGCCTATTCACACTAGGAAGACCCCAGCCCTCTCTCTCAACCACTGACCCCCTCCCTAAACCGTTCTCCAAATGAAAGGTGGGATGGCTACAAATACACAGATTCCAATTAGGGCTCACAGGAAGGTCAGGCAGCGTGCCAATGTCCTTTTCTATCTGCCCTGACTGCTTAACCCTGAAAATAGGAGGGTGCCCAAGGAATCAGAGCATACCTATGCATTTAAGGGAAGGGAAGAGAAGAAAGTAGAAATAGCTTTACAGCTCCTGTTGTGTTATCTCATCTTGTTTCTTCAATCCCACCCCTTGCATGTACACTCCTGACTATGTACACAGGTGAACCTGCCTCACGCTGGTTCAAACATGCGGAATGAATAAAGGAAAACAAATCATGTCCCCCATATGCCAAGACGGGACTGCCCTTGATGGAGTTCAGCTGAAGTCCCTGGAACAGGTCTCCACCACTGTACCTGGGATTGCCAAGGAGGCACCTTCCCCCAAGACCCTAGGTTAGGAACTAGTCCCACATTCTCCTAATCCTCCTGTGGACAGCATTCTCTCAGTCCCCTTTCCAAGCAAGGGCCTTCTCCTACTTGTATGAGAAAGGCCTGCCCTCCAACATACAAAATGAACATAGCATACTCAACATCAATAAATAAATCACTAATGTCTACATAACATTCTACCAACCTCTTCGACAAGGATTTTAAGTGCAACAAGATGTCACATTAAGACGACTTCATTAATGTTTCGTTAAACAGTCACAAAAATTTCATCACATTTGAAAATAATTAGTAGCTTTGATACTCTTAGTTCAAAAGAATCTTTGGATATGTGAGGTGACTGCTGAGAAATATAGCCAATCATGAATTAAATGAGTTACTCAGCCAAATCATTCCAGAAATAAGATGACTGAACTCTTTTCGAATATTTTATAGCCAATTCTATTTAATGAGAGATATGGTTATATTCTGATCTGTTCACCAGGATGTGATGTGGAGTTCTTCTGGCCTAAAGAAAGCCTTTCAACAGTCCTAAAAAACATAAAAATTCAGGCAAAGGTGAGCCCACCTCACAGACTACCCAAATTCAGGCATGTCTTTACCACCCCCAGAGCTCCATGACATCATAAGTTCTGGTCCCTGTGCCACCTTGTTTTTGGGGTTTTGGATCCTAGGATTCCATCTGAACCACAGCATACACCATTATCCTGCTTCTGTCTGACGTCCTGATCTGTCAGTGACTCAATTTCTGGCTCTTTCCCTCGGCACCCTTGTTCCTCCTGCAGGTCCCTTGTGCCCAGAACACCTGCATGGCCTGCCCTTAGTTCCCATGTAGCTCTGACCAGCAGAGAGCAGGCTGACCCTCAGAACCCACCTATCTCACGGCTTCCTTCCAACTGTAAGCTTTAGAATGGCTGTGAAAAGCTGGGCACTCAGACCCTCACTGGCTTATGAGAAGGCTCACCCCTTTCTCCCAGAAACTGACATTTATCACTGACCAGAGAAAGCACGACGGGCAGAGACTTTTCACCAGGTTGGATGACAAATGGTCCACAGTGACCACAACTTTTTAGCAGCCTACACTGAGGGAATGCTACCGGCATGCTTATTACAACAACCTAAGTGATCACCTGGCTTTTCATTTGTTTTTATAGGTTTATCCAGTTTTCAGTCAGGGGACATCAGAGATTACATACACGCACACCTATAATTTGCCTCGGGCCCAACCACAGAAGCATTACTTGGCAAAGCAGCTAGCTCCTTGCTGAATCAACAGGACATCAGTCCTAGTTCTGCCCTGTGGGCCATTTAGCAAGGGTAAGACCCTCAGTGCCTCTGATCAGCTTCCCAATTAGCAGGACCAGAGTGCAATTACTAGTTTCCTTCTTATCATCACAGAATGGCAAAAGAGGAAAATGAAATTCTATCTAACTGGGCTGTGTTCCTTGGGGAGAAGGGATGAAGTACGGGCCTCATTTACTATGGAAAGGTAGCTCTGGCCTCCTCCTGATATCCTGGGGACCGTGACAACAGAATCCCTCTTCCCCTGGGAGGTATAAGCCCTCTGGCCTCCACCCCACCTCACGCTGGTGATCAGACCAGACTGTGCAGCCTCCTTCAGATGTAGTGAAGGACCAGAGGATCCTGAAAAAGCATGGCTCACAGACCAGCTACAGGGAGGGCACCCAAGTGCTACCATCCCCCTGCCGGAGGTGGCCACAGTTAAGTAGCTGCGTAGCCGTGGTTGACTGGTGGGTCCTGAGTTATGCAAGCAGTGAGAGGAGGTCAGGATGTGAGGGGCGGAATGGGCACGGGTCAACCAGAGAGTGACACAGACAAGGCCACTCTACAGCTCAACAGACTCTCAGGAACTTGCTCTTATCAGATCAAACACAGACCACAGCGGCAGCAAACTCATCAGTGGCAGGGCACTGCTAGCCAGCCCCATCCTGTCTGCCCCTGGCCGGAAGTGGAGCTGGGGCCCCTCTGGTAGGAGCAGCAGCAGCAGCAGAAGGTCTTGAAGCTCCGGGGTAGCTCTGCCCCAGTGTCCAGGCACCCTTGCCCCATTAGGTGGCATCAAGAGCAGAGGAAGCCACGGTCAACTACACAGAATGACTGGAAGGGTTCTAAGCAGTGGTCTCTGGACCAGCTTCAGGAGGTCAATGAGCCCTGAAATTACAGGCAAAACCAGGGTTGTACACACATACATACTTCACCTGCAGTCCATGATCTTCACCCAGCACTCAAAAGGATTTGTGACCACCACTGACTCCCCCCACCCACCACCACCACCCCAAGAGGTTAAGAACCAGTGTTCTTGGAAGGTCTTCCTTATAACTAACTGAGGGCAAGGCCCTGACAGAGCGGGACACAGCTGGGGATGGGACACGGGGGCTGGCTGTATAGAAGAGAAGAGCCATCAGGCAAGGCGGGAAGGTGGTGGCACCAAGCCCACCTTCCATCATTTTCCAGTTTGCCCAAACCTGGCACTGCCATCAGTGCCCCAGAGGACATTAAGTCAAGGACTTTCACCTCTGTCGGCCTTTCTGAAGGAACTCATCGTCCCAACACACGCCCTCAAGAAAGAGCCGCAGAACAGCACCCCTGCGCAGAGACCACACGTAGTACACAGTGAGCCAGGTTGACACTACGGTAAAATGCTTTCCTCTGGGAGGGGCTACCCAAAGGTTCACGAGAAATAAGCTGGAATGCTGAACTTGATGCCGGTGGCCCCGCTAAATGGGTTTCTGGGAAAACCCCTGCTTTCTGGCACTGGGTCAGGTAGGAGTTAAAGGCTCACTGCTCCATGTAACCTGACCCCTGGGGCAGCTGCTGGGGGGGGGGGGGGTAATGCAAAAACACCTACCCAGGCCTGCATCTCTCCAGAAGGGCTAAGAAGCAGGTCCATCCTTTCTAAATGAGACAGCTTCCAAAGCTGAGAATTCTAAAAACCCTCATCTGAGCTGCATTTATAAATCGTGATTCAGCAAGAGATGGTATTCACTCTTCCCCCAATTAAAAAAAAAAAAAAGAAAGAAAAAAGTCTCTCACCAAACCAAACTCTCTCCAACAGGAGGTTTGGAGTTTCACTAATAATGAGGTTCTCTACTCCGCCTCTCTGATTCTGTTCCTCCAAACCTCCTAGAAAAAGACCTCATGAGCCCCCACCAAGACCGGACAGGAGAGGGGAAGGCCCAGGCCTCTGGCCCGCCAGGCCCCAGAGGCAGCCACATCTCTCACCACAAGGCAAGCACAAATTGCCCACAGCTGCGCTAGCAAAGCTTTTCTTTAAGCCCTGCCCCCTTCGCCTGAGGTCATTATCTCCTCTCTCTAATCCGCTCAGACCCTGCCCTGCATCTTCTGCCTCTGTGCCCAGCGGTGTCGGCTAGCCCTTGCTTCGGCTAGCCCTGCCTCCAGCCCCTGTGGTGGCTGCCACCTCCAGACCAGCCCCGGCCAGCTGCGACAGGCGGCTGGACCCAAGGGTTCCCAAAGCTCACTCAGATCAGGGTCCCCCCCAACCTTGTCTCAACCCCTGAGGGTGGGAGAACATGGACAAGGGAGCAGAGATCCCCAAGAGGCCTGATATGAAGGGTGCGTGGGGAGAACAGGACTTCCGGAACCTTTGTGCTGGCTGGGTGCCACCTGGCTCTTCTCACTGGACAAAGAGTTCCTCTTTCTGGCGAGGCTCTAAATCCCCAGCCTTTTTTATCTCTGCTGCATCACAGGTCAGCACTGGAGCCTGCTCCGGGGGTGGGGGTGGGCCGCTGAAAGCAGCTCAGTGCCGCAGCTCCGCGTGGGCATCACCAACCAGCCCGAGGGGCCCCCGGTGTCTCAGCTCCGAAGAGGGGCTGCTCTTTCTCCGTCTGCACTAACCGACCAGGGGTGGTCTATCCGCCTGCCTGCCAGGCTCTCCAGCAGTCATCGGGCAGCTGAACAGTTCCCTGGCACAACCAAGTGCCTTCCCGGGGCTCTCCTAGCCTTCCCTCCACAGTCATCCTGTCCCCACCCTTTGTGAGCTGCTCCTATGGAACAATACCCTTTGGGAGAATCTTTTCTAGTCACTAGGGGTTTTGCAGTTGTTTGGTACTTTTTGCCCCAATGACGATAAAAGGTCATGCCCGACTCCTACCCCAGCACCTAGTTCTCCTTGACGGGAGCTGGGAGCATCACTGACCACTGTGTCCCCGGAGTAAGAGGCTTCAGGCTCACCCTCCAAGAACCTGCTAACCTCACACCACCCAGCGCCGGTCAGCAGCAAAGCTTCCAAAGGGAGGACAGGGGAGCACTTCGCTGCCCAGGCAACACACCCAAATGCTAATGCCCGAAGAATTTGACATTTCTCATTTAGATACTAAACCTACTTAGAGGACGTGAATCCCCAGAGATCCAGGCGGACATTACCTTCGAGATGTAGGTCAGCTGCAAAGATCCAACGGCTCCTGCCCCCATGGCCAGGTTCTGAAAGACACATGTTTTTCATTTTTCAGAAGCGTGATGCTATGTGAGGCACTGGAAACAACACTAAGAGACAGAAGACCAAGACGCTAGTCCTGGCTTTGCAACCTTGACCAAGCCGCTTACCCACGTTCTTTAGCTCACTCTCCTCCGTAAAATGGTGATAATTCTTACCATGGCTATGTTGACACAAATGTTATCCTTGGCCGTAAATTACTACATTATTGTAGTGTCTTCTAGGATGGTGGTTACAAGTGTGAGCTCTACCATCTGAGTAAGTTCCTTAACCACTATGCCTCAGTTTTCCTTTCTGTAAAAATACGGATACTAACAGCACCTACCTCACAAGGCGGTCATGAGGATGAGTAAGTACTTTTCAGGGCACTTGCAGTCATCCCCGGTACATAGATGACTCTCAACAAGTATTAGCTATTATATTTTTTTTTCTTTCCTGATGGTTCTGGTCTCCTTGTTGGCTTGGTCCTGCTTTATGCCACTTCAAATTCTTTTTGTAATAATCAGGGTACATATACACACAATACAGAAATCTTTTAAAAATCCAGCTGTTTAGTTTATTTCACAGGATTATTATGAATACCAACTGGAATGATGTCTGTATGCCATAAAACACTAAATAAATGTCCTAGTAAAACAGCAAGAAACCCAAAGACACCCGGTCGGGCAACATTCTATCCTAGCACAATCTCCCTGGTTTGCTTATTTCTCCGCTGTCAGAAACGAAGCAATGAAGACACAGGGATGACAGCAAACCAAAGAAATGAACAAGATTAGAAACCTCAGCCGTGAAGTTTCTTACTTATAAATTGGAAAATCTACCCTCCTATGGACCTTACGAACCTGTCCAGAGCTCCTGGTGCCCCTTAAAGTTGCTGCAGAAGCCTCAGAGAATAATCTTGAAGCCCCCAGTTATTGGGGGTTATCTCAAAGCCATAAGGGAAACAAATCTTGGATAAAGAGAATTTAGTAAATTTCCTAAAAGGTTAGCAGTGAAATGACCTGTCATTCTAGGAGACTGCCCTTAAGAAGTATTTTAGACAGTAGGGAAGAGCCCTTCTAGGCCCGATGATCTAAATTAACATACATCACTTGAAGCAAATGCAGTATGTGAAATTTTCTACACACAAGAAAATGGGTGGGGACAATACCACGATAAAAGGAGTCTCAGAGCCCTTAAATGGTAGACTAAGAAATTCAGAAAGGATGTGTTGCCTCCTATCCCCCCTTTTTTTCTTAACAAATGAGGCCATAAAGCTAAATGATGCCTTTAGGTAGTCAGATTAGAATTTCAAATATGGATGATCTGATTTACACATTTTTTTCAGATATACAGTGATTGCATTTTGCTGACTTTTAAGGACACCTCTATTTGATAAAGAGAGATAGGCCCCGCACCCCTAAATCAGAGTCCACGAAGGAGCCACAGGCACTCCAAAAAGCCACTGAGCAACCGCCACTGCCCCAAGGAGAACGAGAACCGCTCTGGGCAGACAGCTCCGCACAGAGTCAGGCTGCCTCCAAGGACCACATGGCTACCAGCCTCTGCGGGACATGGAGCACCTGACCCACTCCCAGCCCCCAATCTGGCACTGGAGGAAAGGGAGGGGCTTTGTGAGTGAGGGGATTGGTCCAAGGTCACATAATTGGAGGCAGAACTTGAACTACAAAGCTCAGGCCATCTGACTTCAACCCAATGCACTCGAAGCAGCACGATAAAATCTTAAAAGCTTGAGCTGTTGGAATTCTAGCTGTGACATTATCGCCCTGTGACTGCAGGCAAGTTTCTCTGCCTATAAAAGGGGGACAGTAAACCCTCCTTGGGTGGTTGTGAGGATTACATGAAAATCCGTAAGGAGAGCCTAGCCCATGGCAGCTCCTCTCCCCGACCCACGACGACGCTAATTACAAGATGCAGAGGCCAAGTCTCAGGGCTGGTGTTGCACAACTCACTCTCATCACCCCAAACCACAGCCCAAAGGCCTCCGGAGCCCCATCTGGAATTATGAGTGATGAAGTGGAATTTGGGGAACCATTCGGACACTAACCCACACGTAATGACAGATATGAGCGGGTCAGATTTCAACTACTTCATCCCCTCCGCCCTCCAGGGCTGCTCCACCCTCCGTCCCATTCCCCACTCCCCCACCCTCCCCACTCTCTCCCCCCACCCCCCCTTCAGCTCTCCCATGCAGAAAGACATAGGAGCAGCTCTCCTGCCCGGTTACCTGGGGGCGGGGGGCGCCTTCACCTCCCTCACCCACCACCCTCCCCACAGTCTGCCCCTAGGCTCACATGTACCTCCCTCTCCACCATGAGAAGCTAGGAAAATATGACGAGTGTCTATAAATGCAGTTTCCCCCCCTAACTTCCTCCCCACCCAGAGGGAGAGGAATGACAGGAGAAAACAGCCCCAGGATCCCAGAGCCTTGATCCAGAGTGATGGCTCAGTGTCCACTCCAATTGCTGGACCTGGGAGATTCATGGTGACAGCTAGCTGCCAGGATGGCAGCCCCAGGCAGAAACTTTCTGCTCAAGGAAGAATGTACCAGCATGTCTGAGCTGGAGACCTCAGCAGCCAGTCATCCGGCGGGGAACACCAAGAAACAAACAGCACCCGAGGCGGGGCAGGGTGTCAAAGCCTAGGCAAGCGGTCTCTCCCGGACACGGCCAATCTCGCCCTCCAGGGAACCGATAAGAGGATCCACCTTCACAAAGCTTCTCTGGGCTGCAGTCTGTCCCTGGCCTCCCCCCTCTCTGAATCCTTGCACACCCATCCTGCTCCAGCTGTGATGCACATCACACTCTCCCAGGGAGCATGTTTGCAAAAGGCCCAGGCTCAGACCTCACCCGAAAAACACTGAATCATAGTCAAATGGAACATGGTCAGAACATGCACATTTTTCAGATGTTCCCAAGGGATCCCTACACAGGCCCAAGTCTGAGAACAACTGCTCTACATGACAAAATCTAGCCCTTCGTTCTAGATCGGCATATACTTTTCTGCGAGATTAAGTCTCTTCTTACCAGATTTTAAGCGCATTGAGGACATGAGTTGAATCTTATTCCTCTCTATAGCAGGCTCCTCAATTTTTATTTATTTGTTATTTTTTAAAGATCTATTTATTTTGTGAGAGAGAGAGAGACAGCACGTGTGCACGAGTCGGGGTGGGGGGACAGAGGGAGAAGGAGAGAGAATCCCAAGCAGACTCCCTGCTGAGCACAGAGCCCAAAGCAAGGATCTACCCCAGGACCCTAAGATCATGACTGGAGCAGAAATCAGGAGTCGGACGTTTAACCGACCAAGCCACCCAGGCAATTTTTAAGCAAAAACGCTATTTGCACAGTGGTTAAGTTCCCAGACCAGTCCCAAAAATCCTGCTACACTCAGTACCGAAGACCTCCCGTCCACCACTGGCAAACCACCTTTCTTTGGAAAGATTTGTTCATGTTTTGAACTGGGCTGTCACTTGAGTTTACAGTTACCATGACCTCAGGCAGGGTTCCTGAAGGACAGGAATCGGGTGGAGGGGCATAAAAGGACCGAGCCCCAGCAAGACGAGAGAGTCAAGGACTTGGGGAGAGGCCTGGGATGCCTCCAACATGAGAGCATCTGAGCAGATGCTGAGGGAAGGCAAGGCTGGCCATGGGGAAGGCTGCTTATGGGAACCACCTGCAGATATTTTCACACGAACTCGTATCCACACCTCACTCCTGGGGCTCTAACTGATCCGGGACAGGGCCCAGGCATCTGCATGTTTTTCAAGCGTCCCAGTGATTCCAGGGTGCTGCCCATTTTGAGGACCCCCGCTGCACGCTTGGGCTGGTCCTGCTGACTCTGCACAGAGATGCCAGCTGGTGAGAAAGCCACGCCCAGCGGCAGCCCACAGGGTGACCCTGGCTGCTGCAGCAGCAGTAAACAGGGAGGAAGGGATGGGCAGGCCCGAGGGCAGGCAGAGGGAAAGGGGATTCCAGTGCCATGCGTGGCCCGCAGCCATTGGATGGGAGGACGTCTGTAACTCAGGAGCATTCTCAATTTTCTGAAACAATGCAGGGCACAGGGCAGGTTCCCATTCTTTTATGAAGACACTGCCAACACCTTGCTTTTCATGTGTTCTTCTGCACCAAGGGCCTCTAAGAAGCTCCCGCTCCCCATGAGGGGCAAGCGTAGGGTTTATGCTTTTCCAGTCCCAAGGAAGGAGCCAAGAGGCCCACACAGAGATGTGACAGACCTCCCGTAGTAAGCCTTTTTCCAAAAGCCACATTATCTCTTGTCGAAATAGAAAATTTTACCCTAGGAATGTCTCCTACTCCCTTTTCCGTCTTCTAATGAGAGTAATGAGGAGCACAGAAATGACTAACTACAGAGTCATAAATTCACAGAGCAACAACACTAAAGGGTTCTGGTGATCCCTTATCATTTGCCACAGGAATCCTCTAAGACTCAAGGTGGGGAAATGACTTCCTCAAGGAGCTGAATAAAGACAGAGCTTGTAACTCCCACCATCAAATCTAGCGCTTCAGCAAAGCACAGTTTGAGGAAGGAAAAAGGAAACTGATGTCTATTTAGAGTCAATTTTGCACCAGGCCAGGCTGCTAGGTACTCCTGCACATTGTCACTTAATCCTAACAATCCCATTTTGCAGATGAAGAAAGTTAACAACTGAGCAGGTGAAGCAGCTTGCCCAAAGTCACACAGGCAGTGAGCAGTCAGGCCGGTACTCAAACCCAACCCCTTTCTGATTCTCCAATCTCATATGCTTTCCCTCTACGCCATGCCACCTCCCGGGAGACAATCCTTCAAGTGTACAAGGACCTGCTCATTATCTAAGAGTTGATTATCAATGAAAGGTAAATACAAGAGCAGGACCGGCAGGGTTACACCGGAGGAGGCCCTCCACAGTTGCCCAAGCTGGGAAGGGCAGGCACTGGTCAAACTGGCTCTTGGGTGCCAAACTCCGAAAGACCAGAGATTTGGAGTGGAAGGG